ACACGTTGTGTTTTTCACCAGCCAGCGGTTTCTGCTGAGAGCCCCTACCCCTTTGCAACACACTCTCAGCCTAATTAGGCTCTAGTTATTTTCCTCAGCAACCGTCCCAAGAGAACTGAGCCGTAACCAATGTCTTTTTGGCTTTTATGCATTTATTTTAGGTGCAGCTAAAACTCTGAGTTTGTTTTTCAAACAGAAGATGGCGCTGCAGATAAAATGTGCCTGTATTTAATAACTGTTTCTATGTGTGGGGTTCCTCTCTAAGAGATTTTTCTGTAACTTTCAGATGCTGAAAGGGATACATTTTGTGTTAGGTTTGCCAACTTGGAAATATGACAAACAACCAAGAATCCAGTATAATATATATAATATAGAGATTTTTAATTTATGCAAATGACCTTAAAACATAGTTATTTAAAACAGCTTTAAAAAAGCAATGAAATGAAAATAGCATAATAATAATCTTTTTTCCGTTGCAATTAAAGTTTAAATGTCACAAATGATGGTAAATCACTGGGTGAGGTGAGGTGAGGAGAGGAGAGGAGAGGAGAGGAGAGGAGAGGAGAGGAGAGGAGAGGAGAGGAGAGGAGAGGAGAGGAGAGGAGAGGAGAGGAGAGGAGAGGAGAGGAGAGGAGAGGAGAGGAGAGGAGAGGAGAGGAGAGGAGAGGAGAGGAGAGGAGCTTTAGTTGGAACATGGTGTACTATTGCCTTAATTTGTGCTACTCAGGCAGACACACTAAGAAACAAAATTTAAATCACATCAAACCAAGTAGAATTTGTATCAAACATGGTTCTAAATATTTAAGCCCAGATCTAATGTCAAATGGCTCTGACCACACACTGATTTTCCCAGCCTAAAATTGGATTATGACTCCTAAACAAGGAGGGTATGACTCTCTAAAATTACTGATTTTAAGTCCCTGAAAAAAAAAACTCTCATGACCCTTTTACACTTTCTGTATTTAACAATGCTCAAAAAGGAAACCCATTCTTTGTTTGATTTATCTAATTAAAACAGGACATTTTTGTTAACCCATGGTCTGGATCCAGACAAATATATTTGGTAATATTTTACAAAATGTACAAAACTTGTGCTTTTTGGTTGTATTAGCGTATAAATTTTTTTTTATTTTTTCCCCCACCTATTTTATTATAGCTTGGACTAAGAACCTATCAACACATTTTGCTATTGTAAGCTATAAATACCATTGCTGACTTATTAATAACACAATTGCTGTTAGAATATTCAAAAAGGAATCCTAAAATAAAATAACTCATTGAACATCAATTTCAACTCAAAATTAAGTTCCTGGATATGACACCAGCAGTCATACCCAAAAGACTTGATCTAATAGAAGAAAACATAGCATCTATTCAGTATTGAGACAGGTCGCATTTTATATTTTGTAAAAGAGAGATACAAAATCTCCAACAATTTTTCTTGAAAGTTGCATGTTGCTTTTGTTAATCTGTCACAGAAAAATCTTGTCAAAATAATTACCTTTTGTGGCTCTTTCATGAAGAAAAGTGAAACAGTGTGCTAAACATTAGTTTGCCTGCTAACAATTTAAAGCTATGGCAACAGTTAAATGTCAGGCCCACTGTTCATGCAGAGCAAAAGGCCATTCTGTGTCCCTGATGCCCTGCGGTTACCGCCACTTGGTCACATGTGAGGAACATATCAATACTTCAGCTGCCTCTGCCTAAATGTAAACACCCCCATGACCTACACAAACAGCCTGAAGGCAACGTTTAATCACAAATGATACTAGTCTGTCTGTATTTAGGTCGTTGGTCATTGATCTCTAAAGAAACTCGATTCCTGCTGAAGCCTGTTGTGCCGACTAAACGTTGCTTCCCGTAAAGCCAGGGCACTGAAAGGTGTCTGTTCCTTAACGGTTATCTGAGGGTTTAATTGAAGACATAACAATGTTTCCTGGAAATTGCATGTCAAAAATTCCAGGTTTACTATTCTAGAATTGTCTCTTTTTTAATAATGTTTTGATGGTCATTTTTATACATGTGTAGTTAAATATTTGCACCTTTACCTTATATGAATGTCTTTGTAAGTTTCCCTACAGATATTAGAGTTTCTGCTGCATTTTTGGTGCCAGACTAATCAGTATATCATGCAAACCAGAATCCTCCCCCCATTTATATAAAAGTCTTCAGCCCACCTGCCACGCCTTGGTTAGACCACAGCAGAGCAGACAAGTTTTTCCCAGACAGCAAGTGAAGGCGAAGACCGCCAGCTCACCTTACTCCCCATATTAGCTTACCATATATTTATGAAGATAATCTTTTTATTTTATCATGGCTTAATTAATCATAACAGGTAAACATTTTGGAAACTGTTCTACACAAGAAATTACATTTTCTAAACAAATAAGTCAAGAGTCGTCTCTCAGCATCCCACCCCATGCCCCCACCTTCACATGTACCATCTTAGCAGGGAGGTGTGCAGGTATTTGTTCAATGAATCAAGCGTGATTGAGAAATAGCATTAAAGAGAAGAAATTCGCTCTAAAATAAAAAGCCTGTAGTCTGTATAATATTAATGATTTAAAAAGCATCAGCTTGTTTAGATTTTGTTCAAATGGTTAGATAAAAATCAGCACATAGCCTCTTGTTTGTATTTTTCTCACCACAAATCTAATACATCACCTGTGAGTCTACAAATTTTTGCTCTTGGCAAGAAAGGCTGATCCAAGGTCAGTGATTGTTTATCACAGTAGATTGTAAATCTATGTATATTTACCATTCCTTGATATATTATTAAACAACTTTTACCTTTAAAAGGTGTTTACTTATTTGAAGTATGACTCCTACCCAGTTTGGCTTTAAATTTCCACAGTGGTTTACTTATAGCTCAATTACATTCAGTTCATACAATTCAATAAACCATAAGTCCTGATATGTTTTGTTAATATGAAACTTCACTTATTTTTAACATCTGCTGATTATTTCATAATATTTATATTTTATTTGTTTTTAATGATTTCTTATTGAAATATCAATCAATAAATTTGGAAGACAGAACAGTGATATCTTTGTATGATCCCCGACGAAGGAATATGACATTAAAGGTTTAACATATGTTGCAGAATAGAATTAAACAAGATGATGGTTGTAAAATAGTCTGCAGCCATCTGATTACTGAAGATTTTACCTTTTATTTGAATGATGGGAACCATTTTAAGTGTATGACCAAAGTCGGATTCTTGTTTATACCCTAAATAGTATAACTACGCAACACCAACATAGGTTGCAAACATGCCATGCTCCAATTTGAGACCCATAGCTTGTGGCCAAACAAACGGTCCAAAAGCAAAGCCAGTCATTAACAGTGTATAAATTTAAACAAAAAGGTAAACCTTCTAGTTGGTGGATCTCATTCTTTGATGTTTGTACTCAAACATCAGAGCTGCCTGCTGCTCCTTTGGTCATGAGGAATCTCATATATTTGTAAATTATTAGCATAGGCCAGTTATTTTAAGGCTGAATCCACAAACAGGACAACTGCGAGTGGGGCGCTCAAATCTAGTCCAGAGGTCAAACTAATATTTTAGCTTCAGGATATGGTAAACATTTGAAAGAGCAAACACGGGACCAAAATGGAGCCTGATGTATTAAATCCAAAATACTATGGGCTTGATATACACAAGGTTTGCATGTATTAAAGCAGGTGCAAACCTTGAGAGTGCATGCAAATTTAATCTGCTAACTGGGATATGCAGATTTGTGGCTGTGACATTGCTAATATAGCAGGCTAATTTAATTTACACACACATGCAGAACATAAGATGGTCACTAGAGCTTTCAAAGTATTTAACTCAGATAGTGTGTTTTATCAAATGGATTACTGTGTAGTTTCTACTTCTGTATTTAGCATTTTAAAGCCAGGTGCAATAAATGTCTGCAGTCATTGTGGTTTAAAGTAGGCCAGGGGACAGAGAGAGAGAGTGGAAATTTTTCAAGCATAATATTTGTAATATCAGATATTGAAATATCCATCCATCCATCCATCCATCCATCCATCCATCCATCCATCCATCCATCCATCCATCCATCCATCCATCCATCCATCCATCCATCCATCCATCCATCCATCCATCCATCCATCCATCCATCCTCTTCCGCCTATATGTGGTCGGGTCAAGGTGGTAGCAGCTTCAGTAGGGACGCCCAGACCTCGCTCTCCCCAGCAAGTATTGCCAGCTCCTCCGGGGGAATCCCAAGGAGTTCCCAGGCGATATTAGGGGAGATATTAAAATAGTAGGCACATATTGTCTAGCTTGCAATGCTACATTTGAACTTGTGGATGAAATAAGGGTGTACTAGGTGCTAGTCCCAAATAGAGGTCATGTCATATCTCCTATGACATTTTTTTGTCACAGTTAGTGGTGTCTCACAGTGGTTTTAATAGGTGGGGGGCCATTGGGTGGTTGGATCCACTTGATATTTTTTCCTGCGTTCTTTTATTTGACTTTATCAGATCAAATGGAAGCAGCTTGCAAGTTGTAACATTATATCTTTGAAAACAGAGATAATAATTTATGCCACAAACTGCAGTACTGGTCAGTATAAATGTCCTTTTTTTAAAGAGGAGTGGACATTTCTCTAGGTTCATCAGTGGTAAAATGTATTAATATATCATATCATGAAAATAAAAAGCTACTCTATGCATGTTGTTGTCATGACACCAGTTTTAGCACATCCATGGTACTTTTTTAAATAAAAGAAACTGCAATTCAGCTTTCCTTAAAAACAAACAAAAAATACATAACAAAATGTTATAACATTGTGTTTTATTTTCTTCTTGCTGGTTAGCATAGGAGCATAAAGGTGGGTTTAAAAGAGAAAAGGGGTGTGAGAAAAACAAGAGAGATAGTGTGAAATTGGTAGAACAGAGGACCTGAGGGTTTTTAGGAGGAAGGGAGGGAAAGATGAGCAGCAGCGTGAGCAAGGGGAGGGTAGGAGGGATATGACGTGAGCGAGCGGGAGTATGGAAACTGAACACTGTAGGCAGACTAACCCTAGATAATTCCTCTCTCTCTCTCATCCTCCCCTTTTCTCTCTCTTTCCCTCTCTCAGTGTGTCACCACTTCATATCCTTCATAGTGTTCTGATCAGACACCATCAGAGGGAAGAAAACAATCACTCCACCATTCATTTGCTCTCCTAGTGACATGCAGCACAGAGGGCGGCTGCTGCTGCTGCTGCCGTGTACACAGAGAATTATTAAAACCACACGCCTATCTCGCAGTTCAGAGAAGATCCAGTCAGCACTGAAGGCAGGAATCTGAGTGAGGGGCTTCATTTCAAGACATCTGTCTTCCTCGCTGCTCTTGCGGTTATCTTCAGCCCTGCAGCAGGTGAGCAGCATCTAGATATGTCATCCTATTCATTCACATTCAACACCTACTGTGCCTTCAGTTAAACCTCCCTGCCATAGAATAGTGATGCTGTTTTTTTTGCTGCACCACTGGAGCAGTACCACTGCTGTGACATTTGCAGAGCTAGATTCTTGTTGTTGAGTCTGTTCCCAGAGTGTGTTGTGAGGATGCACTGCAGAAAGAGGGAGAAGATGATCGAGGTGCACAGCAGGAATACATTAAGAGAGCCAGTTTTACATAAGACTTTTAACTTAGCTTCTTTTCTGTTGCTCATCTCCTGAAGGAAGAGTTTTGTCGAAGGAAGTTTATGTGCAAAAGGTTTAATCCCACATATGCATCTCTGATACGGCTTCTACTGCTGGTTTCTTTCTGTTTTTGCTGTAACTCTCTGTCATCTCTGTGATTGAGCTGCATCAGAAAAATGATTCCCAGTTATTTGTTAAGGAAATTTATGCACATGCATACTTACACACTCACACATCAGTGAACACACACACCCACAGATGGGCCAAAAACAAATCAAAGGCCCAATAAAAAACAAACCCGTGTACCCTGTTTATTCTTGCAGCAACACAAACAAATTTCAGTCATGTGAAATTAGCCTTCACATGACTGAACATCCACTTGTTGATCCAGGCTTTCAGTTCATAGTAATTGGGTCAAATACTTCTGTTGCAATACTGATGCAGACCCAGATGCAGACAATCACACAAATGCACGGGTTAGGATGACCTAAACGGAACAATAAGGACACAATAGCTACACAAACAGAGAACAAGGTTATATCAGCCAAAGGAGCTGAACTGTGACGGCTGATGATGCAGATCACTTTAAAACAGGGCAGCTATTATCCTATGGGTGCGGATGAGGTTCATTTTAGGACGTTTTTTAAATTCTGAAAAGAAAAACCTAAACAAAATTTATATCCATTTATTAATTTATAATCTGAGCACTTTTGAAAAAACAAAAAAAGTGTTTCTGCATAGATAGCTGATAACCTAAAATTATTCTTTTTTAGTTAATATACTTAAGTATAACTGAGATAAAGAAAATCAGTTAAGCGAAAAAAAACAAAACTGTCAAAAAAGGTGTTTAGGGCAGAGCTTCATCGAGGTGTCATCATGGCAGCCAGTAGGTCTGATTGGGAATCATTGTGAAAAGAAACACCAGAGGAGCCTTAAAGGATGGAAATAACTATGAGAGCATTTTCTTTTTCTAAACAAAAATAATTTTACTGATTGTTGAGATTTTGTGATGCTTCAAGCTAAACCAAACAGGTGCACTTATATTTTTTTAAATATGTCCTTTTTTAAACTGGAATCTTTTTTTTAGAAACACAACCCACACACTCAGAAATATTAATACACAAATATAAAACCCTTATGCACTTTATTTAGATAATATCATTTCTGGACACCCTTTAAATATCAAGTTTGATGTATGATGATTTTATTTTCCAACTCGAAAAGTAGCCGCTTTAAAAACAAAACAAACTAAAGTATTTGTTAAAAAGCAACATTGTTGTAATTCATCCTTTCCCTTTAGAGAAGTAAAGCAATGACAGCTTGTAATCAGAGAGGGAAATAGAGTCAAGTTCTATAACAATGCATCAGTCCATTTTCAGTTAGCCAAGGCATTCTTCTCTGTGACTGCAACACCAAGGTGTTCACAGGCGAGAAGTTAACCCTTTAAAGTTTTTTTTTTTTTTTTTAGATTTGGACATTTTTGTTCATTTTGTTTTATTTTATTTTGTTGATATTTGATTAATAAACACAATTAATTGTAAAGTGAAAGAATAATGATAAATGCATTGATGTTGTGTAGGAAAACAAAAACTGTGTCCTTTTGTATTTGGCCGTCCTATTTTAATGCCACAAATTAAATCCAAACATCTAGCTGCTTTGAGAATTTCAAACAAGCTATAGAGAACGATAGCTTATCCCTGAAGGATCCCAATCGATTGTAATCTGTTCTATGGTGGTAATGATGGCTTAAAAGTTTAAATTATCTTTAATTAAAAAAATATATATATATAAATGCTTTCTGCCCCTCATTTCGTAAAGTGAAGCTAATGTAGTGAATTGTTACACATTTAAACATTTGAACCTTTACTTGTGACGCACAGAGGATGAGAAAACTTCAAATATTGTGTCATAAAATTTTTATTCAACAGAAACAATAATGGGAGAGGTTGTTGACTTAAACCCCTTCCCAAGATGAGTGAGCCACATAAGGTTGGTTGTTTTCAGAGTGTTTTATCAAAGCATATTTAAAGAAAGTTATGTGGAAGGAAGAACGTTTATAGGAAAAGATGTTCCAGGAACAGTATAAAAGCAGCTTTGAGAGGACTGATCAAACAGAATCAATATAAGTTTTTATCTAAGTGTTGGTGAAATGAAATAACGCTGCAATCAGAACATCATGAGCTGAGACACACAGATTAATCCTACACATGGGCTACAACTATCGGTTATAAAAAGAGGCAACCTCAGAATTGTCTTAACTGGCATTGTTGTTGCTCTGTAGACAAAAATCCTTCTTGGAAATGAAATGAAAGTAAGGTTTACATTTAACAGGAGTGTCCCAATACAGCTTTTTTCATTTCTGATACGATAACAATATTCCATACCATTGTTATCATGCTGCACTCATGCACACTTAAAGAGGCTCTGCATGGTCCCTAGTGCATACAAATAAACATACCTTTTAAAAGGCTAACTTATCTGTTTGTTTCTAAGACACTAAGCTAAAAATAATCAAAATTGCAATAAAAAAAGCCCTGAAATATTCCCCTCTTTCTGAAATGAATCAAAAAATATAGGAAAAAAATTGTCCAGAATAAAATTAAAATGTTCCCTTTGATAGGATATTAAAGGTATTGTCATAAATCACAAGTGTACATACATTTTTCTTCATTTATTTCTATTGTTCAGTCTAATACATCTAAAATTAATCAACAACGAATGTGCACAAAAATTAGATTTTTTTTTTATTATCACCAAACAGGCATATTCAAAATGTGTCTCTTCTTGGATTTGTTCAGAGAATTAATTTCGGGGGATAGAAATTATGGCAGAAATTAATGAAGTAGAAAGAAAAGCATTGCATGAAAATGCAGAAAGTATCAGCTTCTGAACTAACTGAGCCTTTTTCTGTTGCTACCTCCAACAAAGACAATGATATTTTCTGTGTGCTGAATAAAGCTGAGAGATGGTGCATCTGACCCGCTCTGCCATTTTCTCTGACCTTTTCTTCAAAGGAGGCAAAGCAGAAGGATAAGAAGGTGACTGCTGCTGGTAATGGAGCTGGTTGTCTGATGTTTTCCAGCGTGTGACGTTCAGGGAATGCTTGGAGAACACGGACATAAGGACTGAGCACAATGAGCATCCAGGACAAATGGGTCACACTGACCCCAGCAGAATTTGCCTTGCTACAGGAATATACTCAGTGTGAGTAAATAATTTTTTTTCTCTCTTTGTAGTTAGGAAATGCTACTGACATTGATGCAAGCCCAGCTGATTGTGATAAACAAAATGCACAGCTAAAATTGGCTAATATGAATATGTAAATGTGGACCTTGGTAAGTTGAATTAAAAGATAACATTTGATGTTATAAATTCAAAACCAATCAAAGTTAGGCAATTTCTGCACATCAGCAAATGCTTAGGAATTATATCAGATTATATCACTTAAACAACTTCATGTGGATAAATACTTGGTCTGCTCTTTAAAGTGCTGTGAAAATTATTTAGGCCATTGCAGAAACAGTCGTTGTAAATGTTGAAGTAGATACAAAAACATTTTGTTTAACTTATTTCATTTATTAAGGTTAAAATCTAGTTAAACAAACCCGGATTGATATAAATAAGCAATCAAGACTGTTGGTAAATTGTGAAATAAGTGCAAACAAGAATGTTTTGTCTATTTATACAAGCACACTGATCTGATCACTGACTGTAGAAGAGAGAAATCCCTGAAATAGGGTCTGTCTGACAACAGGAAGTTGTTGGGAAATCTTAACAATCACATCTGAACCCATCGAGGGAATTTAACAAAAATATTAAACAAAAAACACTTACGTCCATCTGAAGGATCAGTGAAGCCATACCTCGGTGGACAATGGCATGCCACCTCTCTAAAAAAAATATAAACATGAAGCATCCATATGGCTTTCATAACCGTACTTGTGATTTATTTATATATATATATATATATATATATATATATATATACATATATATATATATATACAGTATATATTCCTAATTAGAAAGATTAACTCATACGTTTGACATTGCCATTTTAGTTGTTTTGCTCTTTTAAACCCAATAAAACATGTAGGAATTACTTAATGTAGGCTATATACATGTACACAAATTTGTAAGAATGAATCAGGTCTTATACCTTGCCTTGCTGGTCTTCCTGTATAGTTAGCAACACACATGCAGCCCATAGACTGTTATAAAAAAAAGGCTGGTGTTTGCAGGATTGGCCAATTAAACAACACATAGACATGAGGCATTATTTGTGAAAACAGAAACCATAACCATAGTCTACAAGCGGTGAAAACATTAAACAGTGTTAAGAATAGAATCCCAAAATAACTACAAGAGTAGATCCTGAACAAATCCAGGAGGTGACTAAAGAACCAACTGCTAAATCTCAGGTGCTGCAGAGATGCACCCATCAGGATTAAGGCTGGAGAACTCTTTAAAAATCTAAAATGTTCTCTGTGAAACATAAATTCTACCTTCTTAGAGGTAAATATCTAATTTAGTTCCTCAGCCATAAAAGTAAGTAAAGTAATCCTTTGAATTATGTAGTAAATAGCCAGGTAAAACTAAAACATAGAAAGTTTTGTGCAGCACTATGGCTATAAATAACTATTAATGGCTGCCAAAGGCAAATATTAAGAAAGTCATACTGTAACTGTTCCCCAAATTAACCGAGTCAGGGTACCACCTGTTTAACGGGAATTGATATTCAAAGAGTTTTCAGTTCTTGAGTTATTGTTTAATAAATCCAACTCAGCAGAGGTGACCTCCTTGGTGAGCTGTGGTATTTAAAACAACAACAGTAATAACTTCACAGATATATAGAATAAATACAAACAATCTTTAAAATACTAAAATCAATCAAAAATAAATAACCGTTAAGCTAAGATATGCTGGAAAACTTTTAGCAAGGCTTTTACCATTCAACTAAACTACAAGGTAAAATGGAAAGAATGAAGCAATTACAGAAAAAGGAAAAAGGAATAAACATGAGTATACAACTAAATACAACAATCAATTTGTTGTATTTAGTTGTATTTAGTTGAATTAGAAATTTGGCCAAATTTACTCTGAAAGGTAAAGGAGGACAACAGTTAGTGGGTTTTCAAACATACAGTCTATATATGTAAATAAAAAACAACAACTTAAAATTGAACGATGCTGAATAAGAAAAATGATACATTTTGGACGATTACTTTCTTTCATCATATTGACTGATTGAATGTAGTGATGGACTACCAAGATGGTGGTGTGCTGCTACATATGCACCTTCATTGGACTTCATGTGGGTCCTTTAAAAAGAGCAAAAACGACAAAGACTGAGAGTGACGAACTGTGAGTTTAGACTCTCTAGCCTCTACTAGCTCTCCTCTCCCTTACATCAACATAATGTCTGTCGCCTAGCAACTAATGCCAGCATGATTGATAGCTCTATGAGGAGAATGGAGGTTTCTTTTATACTTTATTGTGATTTAACATGATGTTTCTTCCATATTCTTTGTTCAGATGAATCATAAAGAGGTGAAAAAAGATGATGTTCTTTATAAACTTTGGGGTGTTATTTTAAAATTAGCATTTGTATAAAAAAATTTTGGCCAGAACAATTAGGTAGATGACCATCGAGTCTACCGGTAATTATAAATCCACACTTTTGAGGACATGTTGAATGTTGTTGTCTGGATTCTGACTATTTGCTCCAGTCTGTGTTTGTTTGATTTTTGAGACACTTACTGTAACAAGGAATAAATCTCAGCATTGTTAAAACCACGTACTGAGATAAAGATTGTTTTATGCTGAAATACTTAATCATCTCTTACCAGACAAAACCTTTGACTGTAAACTTTTCTGAAGTATAGCCGAGCTTGTTGAGTTCAGGAGGTCTTTTGAACAGAGAAGATGTAGTAGCTGCTGGTACTGGTGTTCCACTCCTCAATATTGGAGCAGAACAAAAACAGTGTCATAATTACGGACAGTTTATATTTAAGAATCTTTTCAACCAAATTTATAAGCCATTTTTGTTCAGCTAGTCTTGTTTTCAACTGGGGTACAGAAGGACCCTACAGTACTTCATTTTGGATCCAAAGTTTTTCTTTTCTAAGATGCAGCCTTTTGCTTAGCCAGCCAAAAAATACATAAATAATGCACTTGTCCTTTCCAGTGCCAAATGTGGAGAACTTGGGGCTCTTGCTTTTATACCTGTATGACATAACAGGGATTACAGTCATGACCCTTCCATCCTGGGAACTATCCTGTAAATGGGTTAGTACTCTGAATTCTGAGTTTTATGCATGATCTCCGCTGGAGGTACATTTGCCGGTGCATCCACACTGCCGATTTGCCTTAAAATCCCCTGGAGCAGCAGGGTTGCACTTTGTGTTTTATTTTATTTTTTTAATGAGTTAGATAAGTTGAGATTAAAGAATAGCAAAGATGACCATAAAGGAAGGCACATTGTTTGCATTGCACATTTCAGAAAAGAAACACTTTAAAGTGCTTTAGATGATGTAGGAAAGAAACATTAAAGGTATATTGCAGTGGGATAATAAAGAAAAGGTAAGAAAATTTAGATAAAAGGTTTCCTCAGAGTCTCATATTAAGCATCTAAACTAAATTGTGCTTCTCCATGTTTAATTTAGATTCTGAGGACGCAGAGTGGGGTTAAAGCAGCAGGCCTGATGTGTCTGAAATGTTAGTTAAACCACAACAGATCTTGAATTCCCTGTTGACAACGCTGCTCAGCCCACAGTCATTTAGAAACTAACAGAAACTAGCAGTAATATTTTAAAGGCTGTTGTCTACGATGCAGGAATAGGGATGATGGGGATGATGTGCTCTAGTTTTTTTTATTTTAGTGAGGATTCTGACAACAGCTTTCTGGATCTGATTAACTTTTAAGGCAGACTTATGAACAGACTTTTAATGCAATCAGTTTGGCTAAAACTAAAAGCATGGATGAGTTTTTCAAGAACCTGCTGGATATTAGTAGAAATGTTCACTTTTCACACAGTATTGTGTTTGTTATATTGCTAAAAAACAGCACAATGAACAAAAACATTTATGTAATTACAGTAAACCTCTCACTAAAATTTAACATAATAAAAATTAGGAAAAAAAGACTGCTTTTAGTTTTTTTTTTTTAGAAAAGTGAGGTGTTTAATGGCTCCTTTTATTCTAACATTTTTTTAATTAGTGGAAAGTCTGCTTCACTGCATTTGGTGTTCCTGCACATAGATAATACAATAAAACATTTAAAGAGGTCACTGCACTACAAACATAAACACAACTTCTCAGATAACATCAAAGCATTGAGGTAAGAAGAAATATCTGTGAGCTGTAAAACCAGTCCTATCACCACGGTTACACCAAAACATAATGTATAGAAAGACTTTTCTCACAGCTTGCACTAAAAGGAAGCGGCTCAAGTTTTTATACCTTTTGACATCTTAAAATTATGAATTTATGGCACATAATCTTGTTTCTTGTTTTAATCTCACTGCACTCTCAATGTTTAAGCCGTGCTTTCAGACATCGAGATATTTTATTAATTGAATGATATTTATGTCAAATCTAAAAAGATTTAGACAAATCGTCAAAGCACTGAGTTTTTATGTGGGTATATAGTAAAATGTATATATATTTTTTGGGCCAACTTACTTATATGATGCTGAAAAGTCCTCCAGACTTCAACACTATAGGACAGTCCAGGACCTTCTTTAAAATACATCCCTTCTACCCGTATATCATATTTGAAAATGCCCCAGAGGACCACAGAACCTCCTTGGCATTGATGGCTTGGGTTAGTCTCGGCTGTGACTGACAACGGCACAATGACAGCGGCCCAAACATGGCAAGCAGAGCAACCCAGTGATCATTTTGTGATGGAGCAGTTATATGAGGTGGATGTTTTCTACCTGGAGGTCTTCATTAGACATAGAGGAAATGCCAGGAAGACAGGAAGTTTCAAAATTTATGACAAATCATTGTTTTAGACTTTAAAGCAGAGGCACGGATAGAGCTGCTGTCATCAATTCTTCTAAATAATATAGCATCACATCCCTGGCAGAGCAATAGAAGTCAAATGCGGCAACATCTTTTTAACCCAAGGAGGGCACCAAACATACAAAAGTGTACATTTTTTAAATGGTTCTGGATTTATAGACAGTATAAGACATCTATTTTTTTTTTACAGTTTATAACCAAAAACTGAATTTGGGGTATGCAATCCTTTAGGACCAGAGTGATAATGTTTCTAAAAGCTGTTTAAAATGATGTTGTAAAACCAGCTTGGCATTTCTATTGATCTATTTAATATAATAATTTTCTAAATATAGCTTTAGATGTAATTCTAGATGAACTAAGGCAATATATTTACCTTTGGGTTACGTACCAACACCTGAATTTGCTCTGAAATTGACTTTTTATCTCAGAACAATTCTGTCTAGGTTATATACCAGCATTAATATTTAACCTATCATGCAGGATTGAAACTAAACTGGTTTAGGGACCGAAACAAGAAAAAATATTTCAGTGCTACTATTTTTTTTATTAATAATAAACATCCATCTTAGAAAGGAACATTCTTTTTTACTTAAATATGTTTCCTGTTAAATTAATGTAAGATATTGTTTTTGAATTGTTGCAAATAAATAATACACTTCTAACAAATTTAAAACCAACTTTTTAATTTTTTTGTTATTTAAGGCAAGTTGTCAGGCATTCATTTTCATTTTGTAAGTCATATCTAGGAGTATGTATGTATTAAAAATAGATTTTTTTCATTACATAATATTTAGAGTTTATAGTGGAAAGAAAACAAGCTAAAACAGCAATAGCAAAGGGGCACTAACCTCTGCTATTGTTTGTAAAAACGGTGTATGTGAGCCAAAGATGCACAGCTGACAGATTTGAGATAATCATGTTTCCAAAAGCCCCTTGCTACTTTCGCTACACTCTGCATCCCGTGGTTATAAAATCCCCTGTTTGGTAACAATAGGCATTTCATCCTTCATCTCCTCTCCTCTGTATCTCCCCCTCGCCCATCATTAAAGTGAGCTGTACACACTTTCATAACATTTTAATAGCTGGCTGCCTCGCAAGGTCTGACAACAATTAGAGTTACTCTTTCAGCAACATAATTGCTTTTCTGAACATTCGCAATATGCTGCTACTCAATAGAGACATATTTCTGTTGCTGTTATAGCAGAAAAAAAAAGTCTGTTTCCGAGTTTAAATCATTACCTTGTCTTAATTGTAGATTATTACGTAGCTGTGCCTGGACAATGTGCCAGACAGCTAATCAGTGGAGCTATTATCACTCTGTTCCTAATGGCTTTGCACTGATGGCGCATTTATAAAGATGGTCAGTAATGATGTGACTCTCTCACTTGAGTTTGGGGCTTTTATTTCAATGCCCTATTTATAAGTAAGATTTAGAGAAAATAAAAGATGCAAAGCAATTAGTGTAGAAGGTAACAAAAAGGGTCAACAGAGCTGAAATGCAGTTTCTCACTAAATAGAACATATCGGCTACTTTTGATTATAATGGAAAAAAAATCTTTAAGCTGCATTTCTTCTACATGCACGCAAGAGATTCATAAAAAAAATCTCATTGATCCGTTTCATCCCTCATTCAGCAATCCCTACGTCTGCCCTCTTTGTGTCCCAGTGATCTTGGTTGTTGTGGAAATCTCGGGCTTGAATCGCCTCTTTTTTCTGTCCCGGGCCCTGTAGGGGGAGTCTGGGACTGCCCACACCTGCTATTAAACATACTTTCCTTCTGTAGAAGCGTTGTGAATCCTTTATACACAAGCATGCTCATGCATTTGGTTTCAGATGTTCACAGATAAAAACTACGGTAATATTAAATATTAAGCTGCAACTACATATATAGTTGCAGCTTAATATATATATATATATATATATATATATCAGTGACGTGCGGTCAGGGGAGGCAGGTGAGGCAGTGCCTCACCAGCCATCATGGAAAGAAAGAAAATATATAATCATAAAGTAATTTAAATTGTTATATTCATCCGGTGGTTTGTACTAAAAAATATTCATTTTTCACGTAGCTTCACCAATTTCGATTTTTATTTGTTCAAAATCGCTGAATTTTCTTATTTTCCCATTCAAATGCTTGGAAGCGATGCCGGTGAGGCAGCAGCGAGCTCTGCCTCACCTTGGATTGCGCAACCCCTGGCTCTGCGCTGGCTGCAAAGCGGAGAGAGCATGTTGCTGTACGGCGTCAATAAAATGGTTTAAACAAATGTAATATGTGAACTTATTTCTAATAATTTGGCTTATGTATATAATGTACAGAGCTTTTTGTCACCAACTGTGTTTGTGTAACGTGTTTCGTGTAATGAGCGATTATAAACGGCAGAGAACAAGTTCGAGGTGAGGCAGGCAGTTCTCTTGCCTCATGGATATATATATATATATATATATATATATATATATATATATATATATACATATATACCATCCTGATTAACATTGTGCAATCACCATGGGTTCTGACTCCGACACACAGGGACATCTAAAGGATACCCGCTGCTTCTGATGCTTTTTTTTTTATTTAAAGTTTACTTTGGTTGTCTGTTATCTTCTTTTTGCTGTTATGCTCTCACTTTTTTGTCCCTCGTGTCTCATATAGCTGTGAAAGAAGACTCCTAGGACTTACTGTATGTCTTCTTTTTTTCTGTGATTCTTTATTTTCTCTCTTTTCATGCACCCTTTCCTGTCTCTCTCTTTCTCTCTCCCCTTAGTTCCACCTCCCTTTCCATGTGCATTGTATACTGTTTCACTACCCAAATAAGGTTAAATCAAGTTTAACATAAAAGGATAAAGTTAAACCTTATGGCAACAGTCATACTGATCTGCTTGTGGAAGCAAAGCTGTAAGGCTATTAACTAGTTCAGGGACATCAAATCCTATTTATATTTGCTAAACAGGACTAAAACAAAAAAGCCTTTCTGTTTACTGCGATAATTTTCCTCTTCAAGCTAATAAAAACATGACCTTTGAGGTCAGAATATTACATTAGACGTATACAAAAAACCTTACAGGCAGAATTTTCAATGTAAAGGTACTTTTCATCTGAATAGACTAGAATTATTTTCTTATTCATTAAATCGAATTGTAGGTTTTTCCAACTGCATTTGTCGTTACTGCAGACCGGATCATTGCAGAACATGTTTAGGACATATTGTGTTTAATGTAAAACGGCCACAGATCTGGAATACAGTATCTTACCTGCTGAACTGAAGTCTCTAACAGAACTGAAAAATTTTAATGATAAAGTGAAAAAATTGTTCAAATCAAATTAAGGCTGTTTATGCCTGTTTTCAGTTTGTATGGTTTTTATTGTGTTTAGTCTTTCAGGGACATTGTTTGCAAATTAGCTTTTGGCTACATGGTCTATGAGCACGGCATTCATTATCGTAACAATATTTCTTGTTCTGTCTCTATTAAATAAACAGTCAATAGATAAATAATTTCATATTATCAACCAACCACAGGTTGCATTTTTAGGTTGTTTTTTTTGCAGGCTTTAGCCTCTAAATGCCATAGGCAAATAGCCATAGTCTATAGAGCCCAAAACATCTGCAACAATGGTTGGAATAAATGGTGTAAAATTTCCATATGAAGCCAAAAAGAAGTAAACTGCAGGGTAAAATGTAAAATTCACCTACTTAATCTTCTCCATACAAAGCTGTGAATAGAGCTTAAAGCAGGGTGCAGACACAGATGTACTGTAAGCCCAGATATAAATGGACCAGAAAATGGTGACACGCTGTAAACATTTCTCCCTCAGACTCCACCAAGAAGCTAAAGGATGTGTTGCAGGAGTTCCATGGAGACGGTGTGTTGGCTAAATACAACCCAGAGGAGGTGTGTGTTGAGTTTACACTACATTACATAACTGACAGTTTATGGTTTGGTCTCTTGTCTGTGGGCTAAAAAAAAATCCTAACATGGATAAGTTATTTAGTGAGTGTTTTTAAACACAGTGGTCACACTAATTAACCCTAAGATGGTATAATGTTGAGACTATCAGTGTTTCAACTTTAGAAATTCAAGGTTAACTTTATGGTCTGCAGGAAAAAACAATGAACATTTACTCCTGCATGTTTGGTGAATGCTTGTTTTAAATAAATAGAATCTAAAAATGATTCTTAAGCTTTACTCAAGGTTCAGAAGCACGCATGCTGACTTTTCTTTCCTCCATGCTTCCGGATCCAGAGGCAGGAAATCCTCCATCAGGTGATTGTATAATTTGTACAAATTAGTGTTTTGATATACAGTATACACACTAAGATGCAAGCTGATGTGTTCTGCTAGGAAATCCATTGCTTTAATATCACAACTTAATCTATAACCATACAAGATTTCAGTGTCGTTGTGTCCTTGGCCAAGACACTTCACCTGCATTGTCTACTGATGGTGGTCAGAGGGCCCGGTGGCGCCAGTGTACGGCAGCCTTGCTTCTGTCAGTGAGCCCCAGGGCAGCTGTGGCTACAGTGTAGCTTGCCACCATCAGTGTGTGAGTGTGTGCGTGAATGGGTGAATGACTGAATGTAGTGTAAAGCGCTTTGGTCAACTCACCTGACTTGAAAAAGCGCTATATAAGTACAGGCCATTTACCATTTACAAGATGCTGCTGCTTTAGGACCAACATTAGAAGGTTTCCTTTCCATTGCAGTTTGATCCATTGGTAACTCTTCAATGTGACTCGATTTAATGGTGCAAGTAAAGTAAAACTTTTCTAGAAATGTTTTTTTTTTTACTTCTTATTCATGAGTTTTGGTTTTTAAAGTTAAGAAATGAAACACAAAGGATAAAAGATTTAATCTGGGCTACTTTCTTGTAAGACAACAGCTGTCCCTGTACAGAAAAGCTGGTAGGGCAGATATTAGAAGTAGAGTTTCATCAGGGACTCTTGATCTTCATCGTTTGGAAATTCAGTGGTGGTGACACAAAGTTGAGTCAATAGAAAATAACTTCAGTCAAAACTTGAGAACCAGCACAGCGATCATCTTTTTCTGTCTCGGTTTTAGGAGATCGACTTCGAAGGTTTCAAGGTTTTCATGCAGACGTTCCTGGAGAGTGAACTCCCTGAGGAGTTCTGTCAACACCTCTTTATGTCGTTTAGCAACAAAGGACCTAAACCAAGTCCCTCATCTACCGACAAGCCTAAAGTCTCTGGTAAGTATAAAAACAAAACTCTCTCACTCCCAAGGCAAACACGCAGTCGTAAACACAGCAGATGTTGGTGTTATGTAGTAACTCGTATATTTGTCATCAGGCGTACTAATTCAGCTGCAGTAACTGGTGAGGCGGCATGACATGTAAATCGTACAGTGAGCCAATTCTCTTGGCAGGGGCTCTGTTTGTTTTTAGCGTTTACGCTAAATCACTCTGCTGTATTATAGCCAAGATGATGCCAAAATGGAACAATAACACATTAAACCAGGTGCTGGTTGTTTTGCAATGCCAGAACAATCAGGTCAGGCTTGCTGTAGAGGCTTTATTAGATGCATATGTTCATAGTAGTGAAATATTGATGGTGTAATTACCATTTAAAAATATACAGAAATCCAATGTAAAAAAAAAAATGTTCAATGAATATATAGGAATAAAAAAAGTTATTCAAACCAACCTGCCATTATTGTCCATCATATTAAATTGACCACTAAAGAGAAAAGTTTTATAATATTTGCAAAACTAGTGATTACTCAGTCAACATTCAAGAAATTACTTTAAAAAGGCTGTTCTGACATCATGAACTACATAGAAAGATCTCAGAAAGCAATATATACAGTAATGCCTTTATATTTAGAACTTTATGGATAGGGTCTCTTTGGATCCACGTGACATTTTGACAGTATTGAGCTGCAATGCATCCTAATGAGTCTCTGGCTTATCGTAACTCATCTATGTGCATCAACGACTCATCGTAAAGGACACTAAAATGGATGGACTTACCGTAGTTCAGTCAACATCCAGAGGAGAGTTGCAAACATCTACTGACCAGACAAAACAAACATTTCTGCCCAACATTTTAAAAGAATATATTTATGATCAGAAAGAGTTTTTGTGAAAACATTCTACGAACTGAGCAGACAATAGTTGAGCATTTAGAAGGTGTAAAATAAAAGTCTAGCATAAAAATGGGTACCTTGCAGACAAGATGAATGGATGCGAGATTTGTGATTTCTGTGACTCAACTGATTTGTTATCCTGTCATCTGATAATGACAGGATGATGTCTACATTAATTAAAAAATATTTAGATGTTAAAAAGAAAGAAAAAAACAAGAAATCTGGGAATATTTTTTCTTAACCTATTGCTGATTTTTCCTGGTCTTTCATCAGGTGTTTAAATATTCACATATTCTTTTGTTTTATTAATATTTCAGAGACAGATTCCTTTTTAATCTGTATTTAAATTCTCGGTTTAGCTTTTGCTTTGTATTGAGTTCCATTCAGCATTCTAAAGACAGAATTAATCTGTTTACCAATTTGATTTTAACCAACCTTATAATGAGATTTTTCCCTATTCTCTAATTCAGGCAGTGTTTGTTCCCTTTTAGAAGGGCTTTGCTAGTTTTTATCATGTAGACATATTTTATTTATTTAGTTTTCATTAGTTGGAGTACAAGTTTTAGTTTATTCATACCACAATTAATTATTAGATGTCAAAGTATTATATTGATAAAATCATATGTGAGAAATAAAAGTGAACATATGATGCCATTTTCCAAAACTGGTTCATTTACAGCTGTCTATAACTGAATCTTGTAGAAAAAACACAATTTCACATGAGCTTAGATGAGTTATTAAAAAAATATATATAAAAATATGTAAAGTAGACTACATATAGGTAATTTTATTATGTTTTAGTTTGTTTTTTTAATTACAGAATAGTTTCAGATAGTTTCTTTTCTGATTTAGGTTTTGCTTTATTTCAGTTAACAACAATCATCTCCATTTAGATCTTCATTTTTGTTTGGTTTTAACTACCTATAATAACCCTGGATGTAACATTTTAACTGTTGCATTTTGACTTTGGAGGACATTTTTGGAGCTGAACTTTTACAGAGCAATGGGGCCCTGCGATATTTTGCAACATTGTAAAATCTGCATGATGATCCTGCTTTCTATACGGACAGAGGAGGCTGACAATGGTTACTGCAAGAATGCTGATTTAATGTCTTCAAAAACTGTATTTTCTTTTTGTTACACTGTGTGTTTTTGAAAAGCAGGAGGCCAAAGTTCAGTGTATCATTTGTAACACATCATAATCATTTTAAATTGCTACCACAGGGCATTATAATATAAAACAGGTATAACGTCAATGTACTCTCTGAATCTAAAATTCTGCTCTTGCCTTCACCTTCTACCTTCAGAGGTTTCCACATTGGATCATCTCCATCTCACTTTATGCCATCCTTCTCTTTAACAACACCCCTCTGTGTTTTTAAGTGAGAAAACACTCATATAATAATCATTACATTTTTTCAGCATTACAATCAAAATGTGTTTTCTTGGAAAAACAGTGAGAAAAATCAACTAACTGTTGTCAAAACTTCTAAGCAGAACTTAAGTCATACATTTTAGGACATTTTATATTATAAATAAAAAAAAATGTTGGTGTGTGTCGCCAATTTTTTGAACTTGTACCATTGAACATTGCTCTTTACGATATTTAAAGTCTGATACATTAATCGATAAAGCCTTCTAAGAAAACTTCACATCTGCATTCCTAACCTGTCTGCTCTCTTCTTTGTTCTGTATGATTCAGTTTATCAAAGATTATATTGGCTAAAAACAAAATGCATACAGTAATTTTCAGATTTTTATTTGTAATAAAAATGTAAACACATAAAAAATATATTTTAAAAAACAAACATCTATGTGTTGGTTTTTCACATAATACTTGTGGTTTCAACATGTAATAATGCCAGTTAAAGGGTTGTTGTGATTTTGTAACACACTGTAGAGCCAAAATCTGATCTGAAGCCTTTTTCCTTTACATGTATCCGTATAATTCAATCAAGTCCATTCCAACTACATATAGAGCACTTTAAAACTACCCAAGGACAATACGGTGTAGAGTGAACAACAGCAACCCAATGCACATTCAGAGAACTAACATGAAATAAAAAAATAAAATATAACAAATGACAAAAATTAAAATAAAAGCTACAAATGTCTGCAATGAAAAATAGCTAAAAATGACAGGCTAAGATCAACATATCAAGTGGAGTTAAAAGCAAGCGCAAAGAAATGAGTTAAAAATCAGGAAGAGAGGTAAAACAAATCAAATAACTTTAAAATGAATCCTAAAATCTAAAGGCATAATGAGGCACAAATATGGGTGGGTGCTAAATGTGGGTGCTAAAAGACATAGGCTACCACAGAATTTTGCACTTTCTGGATTGAGCAATGTTGGAGGCACTAAGTCCACATATAAAGTGCATTACAGTAATCCAGCCAGGTAGTGATGAAGGCATGGATCACGGTCTCTACTCTACTCTTCTCTGGAGAGGATGGGCAATTGGTCAACTGCCTTAAAAAAACAAACAAAAAAAACTTGTCTTTACAATTGCTATAATCTAGCTGCAAAAATGTAAGATCAGCATCCACTTTGCCAGCGAGGCTTTTAATAAGTGACTTCCTGTACAGGGTTAGGTAACTTAGGTCAACCAAAGGAGCCTCCTGCTGAAAACAGGCAGCAGGCCTAGTGGTTATGGCATTCTGCTTGGAATCCAGAGGTTCTGAGTTCGAGCCCCACTCAAACAGACTGCCACTTTGGGTCCCTGGGCAAGACCCTTAACCCCACACTGCTCCCCTGGTGCTGCACAATGGCAGCCCGCTGCTTTGATCAAACATTTTAAGGGACAATCAAGTGCTGTGTGAAGTTTTAAAACCTGATTAGAAAAACCCCTAAAATATCATGCTCTTCCAAAAGGCCATCAGCTGATCATCAACCAAGAATTAAAAAAATAAAGGTAAGCTTAAAAATAGGCCTATCATTTGAAAGAATTGTCGGATCAAGAGTTGGTTTTGAACCACAGCATATTTTAAAATTGTGGGAACTATGTCCAAAGACAGACTACTGTTTACAATAGCAGACTGGGAAAGACCTCCTAGAAAAATTGAGGAGGAACATCACCATAGTTAAGGACAGAAGGTTTTAAACAACCAACAGTTTTACTGAGAGCTGTATAATTGTTTTCCCTCCCCTATACCCATCTAAGCTATCCTACTTTGGACCCCTAACCCCTCCTCTCTATCCACTCCTGTCAATCATGAATCATCATCAAACAACTCTGAAAGACCCTGATTGCTCTGGTGCCTAGGATTTTTCTTTTCTTTATTTTTGTGGTTTTTTTGTAATTGATAATATTTTTTAAATACTACTTATCTAAGCATGTTCTTTATCATCTAAGAGTTTGGACAAAACTCAGAAGAAATTTCCAAAAATTCAGCGGGTACAACCCAGAACTGCCATTGAACCCAGATGTAACTTAGGAGGGAATACCAGAACTTCAATGGAATATTTATGCAACTTGCCAGGGAATTCCTTCAGACTTTTATGATACATTCCTGCCACTTTCCAGAAAGTCTAATATATTTCTTTATCTGAGATATTTTCTGAGTAGCTTTTTACATGCTTTTCTGAAGCAAAGAAGGTATCATAACACATTACAAAAACTTTTATAACAGGTACTTACCAGGTAAATTCCAGGAAAGTGTTGGTAGGTTTCAGAAAAATACTTTGGAAGATTCAGAAAAAGTAACTAGATAGATAGATAGATCTTAAAAGATAGCTGGCGAGTTATATGAAAGTTTAAGCAAGTCAACCATTTAATTATGCGAAACTAAAAGCTAAATTCTATATTTTTTTAAACAGATTTTCTTCCGTTATTGCAATTAAACAAACAAAGAGGAATACAAGTATCCTTTTTCTGTTTGCAAATAATAGCCCATGAGTAAAGCTTGCCATCCTGGCCTGCAGTATTTGGCCCAACAAATACCTGCTGGTTAGGATGAGGTTGTTTTGACCTTTTGTTTGTTGCCCCCCGCAGGCCTTAAGCTCATCAAAAGCAACTCCACTCCTCTGAAGACCCCTGCCCTGCCTGGGCCTCAGGATACGGTGCAACTGAAGGATATTGTGTTTTACCTCTCACTGCTGGAAGGCGGGCGCCCTGAGGACAAGCTAGAATGTTAGTATCATCCAATGTCACGTGCAGTTTGAACTGTCATCATTTGAAAGTCATAGTAAAGGATATAGTTTAATGGTTTGAGGAAAAGCTACCATTGCATCTGAGAATCAAATATGTACTAAAAAACCACAGTACATTACATGTATTTAATTAAACATAATCTGTTCCACATCTACGAAAACAAAGTAGCTTTTTGCAGTCATGTTTTCTACATTCTTACAGCTTTCTCTTGAGGCATCATCTGGGCAGAACGTCTAACGTCGTTTCTAATAACTGTTTTATCAAAATGCTGCAGAGGGACAGAGCTGAGACTTTTTACTACTTGAGTCAATTTCTTTTGAAATAGGTTGTCGTCTGGACTGGAGGATTCTTGTTCTTAGTGCTTTAAGTTACAGAAAATTTATTTTATGGTTTTGTTGAATATATGTTGGCCTTGGAAATCCTTACCTACAAATGTGCCCATTTTTAATAATTGAATGATATGGACCGACTATACATAATATGTTTCTTAATGACCAAACCAGTACATAGTACATATCATTATTAGAAAGCATGCTAATTGCAAGTTCAATTCATCGCAGCACTAGGTTTTTCGGCTTAATTAGCATTGAAGAAGCTTTCACCCAACATTTTCTAGATAGAAAACACTTTAGGAAGATATTGGAAATATTTTAATGTTCAAAACCTAAGGCATCATTTGGATCAAACATGTGTTAAATTGCCATTGATCAGTGTTTATAGATCAACATAATCAACATGTCCACGGTAAGCATAGATGTAACTATGCCGATGTTAGCACAACAGCGAATTTCCATCCATTATCCTAAGGCAGGTAAACACAGAAAGCATCCCACAAAACAAAGAGCAGAGAATATTACAATCATCACCTATACAGTATAAAACAAAACACAAAAAAATTTGTGTGGTTACTAGAAGTGCAGGTGTACCTCTGGTTGGTTTTTAGCCAATGTTTCAAAAAGTTGCCAAAACAGGTGCCACAGATCCTGATATAAGCTGGCAGTCTGTTGCACAACCGCATGCCTCTGATGGACTGGTGTTCATTCGGCCAAATTTAGTCCTGCATGACAATTTGCTCTGGTCAATACCCTTCTGATTACCGTAATAACTTATTTTTGGCTCGTAAAAGATAATAAAGGAAGTGGAGCAAATTCATTTAAAACATTACAAACAAAGCAAGAATGCATACAATCTGATATAATCTTTTTTAAATCAAAAATGTTCTGTGTTTTCTTAAAAAGAGACTCCAGGTGCTTCAAAATGGCCTTTGAAGTGTTAGATTGTGCATTATATCATTAGGCCATATGACTGAATAACACAGCAAACATATAGCTTTTGCTGGTTCTTTCATCAGAGAAGCTCTTTTAAGCTTAAACTCTGGCAGATTAAGCTAAATTCTCCTTAATGTGACCATTTAAAGGTTAAATATTGGTTATTCATGACAGAATTTCTTGTAAGCTTGTTTACTGGACTGATGTGAGTCTTAATTCAGAGATGCTTCTAAATAATTCTCAGTCACATGTTGAATAATTGAGAGGAGTTGCTTTCGTTAAGCACAGTTATTACTGAATAATTTAATTCCCTATTTCTGTATGACTATCTCTGCACACAACATGAGAGTGTGTGTCCCTTAAGTGTTCTGATATTCTGCAGAGTAGGGCGCCCTCTGGTGTCTTGTTAATCACAGTGCAGCTGATTAGCATAAAATAGGAAATAGAAATACATATATTTCTTACAATATAGGATACTGTATCCTCGATTGTAAAATGAGATACTTTTTAATCTTTTCCCCAAAAATTTCTATTATGAAATAGAAAAAAGTCTTGGTAAAATTTTAACTAATGCCTTAGAAGTTGTATCTGTTTTATTATGTTACTTTGTGTTTTTCAACCTACAAGAAACAGCTAGGGAGATCACTGATTGAAGTGTGGAACATTTTATTTCACCAAATAAACTCAAATAACAGCCTCAGTAACAATCGTGTGATTTATATGCTTTAAACCCATTTTTATTTTTGCAATTGTGGCATAACACTAAATCTATGTCTCTGCATTAGCACTGAATTTGGAAACAAAAAAACAACTTTATTTTCATATTGTGTAGAATTTAAAATACAGAAAAAGGCTCTGAAAGCTTGTAAAATATCAAAAGCTCTGGTAAATTTTATTATTTTATTATTCCACCTATTTTTAATGGCACAATTAGAGAGGTTCTTGCAGTTTGAAGGGGACAGAGGAAAAAAAGAAAAGAAAACTCTCCTAGGAAGACAGCCCCAAGAGGCTGGGCGCTATAACAACTGTATTTATTTCAAAAAGTACAAAGAGCAGAAAAAAAAAAGATTGCTCAATTTAAAACCTTTTACCACCATAGCACCCTCTCCACGTTTTCAAAATATATTTTTCTTAAAATGAGAGAAAACAAGAAAAAATTCTTTGCTTTTTTTGCCTCAAATCTGTCAGCCACAACTACTGAGTGTGTTAGATTTGCTTGAAAGTGTGTGATATTAAATTGCAGCCATTACACTTTATAACCATCATCAGCAAACTAAAGTGTTTACACCCCTGCTGGATTTGGATATTGTTTGCAATATGTAAATGTCCTATTGGGGGTTTGGTAAATAAACATATTAAAACCACCACACTCAGCTCAATGCTCCTCTAAGTATTTTTATATTAGCTCACTCTATAGTTAAACTAAAGGATAAGTGAAACACAAGGCTTACTGTCATATTAATACTGTCCATATTAATCAGAGCCACTGGGAACAATGTGAGGGATGGGCTGGCCAATCATTGGCTACCCCTGGTTGCCTCTACCAGGTGATTCTATGTGGATGTAATTCAGCAGTTCCCCTCTCAAACAGAGGGTGGCAGCAAAGACAATAATGGAATCTTCCAACTATTTTTGCATTTCAATTATTGGTATATTAACAATGAACTGACACCGAAAATACAGTAGCTAATTACATCATTACAGTAAAAATAAACAAAACTGTAAAATGATTAAAAGAAATATTCAATGCTTTTTTCAGAAATATCATTTAGAAGAGAAAGTTATGTGTCTCTGCATGTCATCTAGGAGTCTCCTCTGTAATTAGCTATAAATAGCAACTAAACCCATTTATTGAACACGATGATCCATCTATCAACTTCATTTTGCACCACAGACTGTCCAGGAAAGGGCCAATGCTTTAGTCCAGGTCTGAGAGGAGATCTCTTAGGAGACCAGCTCCTCAGGAGCGTGTAGGGAGGTCATAAAACACTGAGCCTCATTTTGACCTGTTTGAAGGACATTACATCAATGTTAGATCAGCCTGTAGGTAGTGTGTTTTTTCCTCTTTAATACTTTGTTGTTTGTGACTCCAAATCCAGGCCTCCATTAGTTAATACATAAAATTTCCATTTTTTATTTCTGTGATTTATTTTTCAACTTTGTATAAAGCAAAGTATTCAATGAGAATATGCAATTAGGTCAGATCTAGGATGTGTTATTTAAGTGTTCTCTGTATTTTATTTTATTTTATTATATTTTTTGCTGTAGTGTATATAATGCAACAATGCACACAATATTGCCTGTAAGAGTTTTACATTTGCAGCAAACAGAGGATAAAGTTTATTATTTCATATTGGCAAAAATATGACTGTTCAGCTCTTCATAAAGCCTGGGTTAACAAATACTATTCATTTTTGAGCATTTACTGCAATTAGTTTTAAAAAAAAAAAGCCTGTCTTTAACTTACCAGTTGGTGTGGTTCTTTAACAGTACATACAGTAAAACAAGTCATGAGTACAGAGATAGAGGCGAGCTCCTGGTTTGACGAGGCATCAGTCCGAGCGCGTGGAGGGTGACGTCGAGAGCGTGCAAAGATTAAGTAAAAAAAGGGCACAGGTGGTGGAGTTTGTCAGAGTTGAGAGTGCAGTAGACAGATTTTGAGCAAAGCGGTGCGATATTTATGGATGTACAAGAAACAGTGAATACAAAGGCTCCCACTTGAGATTTAATATGTATATAAGAACATTTTTTTTAATGTGTTAAAATGTTTGTAATAAATTGATTAATTCATCTAATTTAAAACTCTTAACCCTAGTTTATTCATTAGCAATGGATATGAGAAAATTGGGTTTGTCTTATAGGTATACATACATATAGGTTTTATGCTTGTTGGTTTTCCTGTTGTTGCAGTGTAGATTGGCCCTGAACACCCCTCAGTATTAAGTGTTCCCTGGTTCATGCCTGGCTAACCCTGTAAAAATGTTCTGACTACACCACACAGTTTGTCTCGTTCAGATATTCTTGTCAAAAGTTGGAGCTGGGATATGACCCGGACGACTAATATTTGACTTTCTCTTGTTTTCCACAGTCATGTTTCGGCTCTACGACACAGATGGAAATGGATCACTTGACAGCTCGGTAAATTTTTTCTCTTCATTTTCACAAAAATATAATTGTTAAACTTATGAAGGACTGGTTGATTAGGTGTTTATTCTAATTAACAGAGAAGTTGTTTTGCTGAACATCTGTTTACAGTGAAAGGTGTGTGGAAATCCTCCAGTATGCCCAGCACCTGGAATCATACCAGTAAAGCAGTTTGCATAAAATGCAGTAAATTAATAAAGCAGTTGTTAATGACGCTCTAGCTTGCAGTCAGTTATTATTTAACCCCCCATGTGGACTTTTTGCAGCTCTGTACTCTTCTGTAACCTGCATCATGTCTGAAGTCATTGTCGTATTGCATGCACACCTGCACTCAGTCTGCTCAGTGGTATCAGGTGTGCAATCAGCCACACAAAGGTGCATGATCTAGGCCTCCAGGAGGTGGAAAGTGTAAATGTGTCTGTGAAGGACGCCTCACTGTGATGTACCATGAGAAACAAAATCAAATCAGACATTTTTTTTCACCTGTTTTTATTTTGTTCTTGACTCTATAGCTCTGACATGTTTTATGAAACAAATAATAAGACTAACAGAAGGAAAATAAAAATCTTAAATTAGCAGCATAACAATTTCTAGACAGACGAAATAAGATGATTTTACAGACATTCATTTCGTGTGAAAATGTATTTTATCAAAAAAAGAGCAAAGTAGTTTTTTTTATGAATGAAAAGCCCAGTAGGTTTGTAGAAACAGTTATGTGGGTGAGAGTGTTAGAAACACTCTGAAAGGATGGATTCCAGTTCCAGTATAGCCTGTTAGGAATGGAGACGAAAACTGAAAAAATATTACCGTAACCTCTGACTGAGTTAATTGTTTTTGTATGACCTATATTCTTTCCTCATTTAACATCAAAACATGCATGAACCCAGAAATTGTCTCTCAACACCCTAAACCGTCCTCAGAGTCGTGATAATTCAGTGTGGCACCAGATACAAATGTCAGCCTCTCTGTAATTAAACCATCAGATGAGGAGCTCTTCCCACGCTGCCTTTGTTTCCTGCTGTGCAGCTCTTCTGCACATGTTTCCAACCTAATATTACTGACTGTTTATCATTCTTTATACGCAAAGGTAAACACAGTATTTGTGTGCCTGTAATGACTGTCTGTCCTGCAGGAGCTGGAGCACATTATCTCCCAGATGATGCACGTAGCAGAGTACCTGGAATGGGACGTGACGGAACTCAAACCAGTAAGGATATTTTATTTAGAAACAAAAGGACAAATAGATCTAACTTAAGATGCATTCTTGAAAAAGATCAACAGCAGAGAAACCTCTATACTCTCTGGTTCCCCTGGAAAAGATGTGCAAAATTAACATTTATTGCTTTACCATATCACACTTTAAAAAAATTTAAATATCACATTTATTTTTAAATGACAATAATCCAACCGTAACATTTTAGTATATTTTACAAAACTACACATGCCACAGTCCTCAACATTTGAAATATTTATTTTGCACTAGAGGTCTTTATTTTAAAGTCAGCTGGCAGGAAAATCAGTTAAAAGAGGGAAAGGGGGAGAGATATAGCAAAGATCAACATGTAGGGACTCGGATCTGTGACAGCAATATCACGGAATGAAGCCTCGTTCCATAGATCACATGCTTCAATAAACCTGATCAGTTTTTGGATAAATCAGGGCTATTATCCATTTTTCTTTGCCAATCTTCAAAATTGGAAAGACAAGAAAGCGCTCCATAAACATGAAGCTGGTTAATGTTGATTTCTCTAGCAAAATTATTTGGAATAACAGAAAATATTCTCCCCATTAGAGCATAAATAATATCTGCTGGAAGTTTAGGAAAAAAAGGCTGCCACAGCACAGTTTACAGAGCAGAGTGAAAATAACAGTGAAATCATAGAGCACTGTCAGAGGGGAGCAGCAGAGAGTTGTATTTCTTCCGAGGACTACCTTACAGGTTTTAAATGGTAATTCTGTCAGAGCGACAAATATTAAGCATTTTGGGAAAAACACCATAGGGAGGTCTAGTTTAAATTTAATTATGAATAAGTTATAAAGGTCTTGATTACAACTTCTAAGAATGATGATCAATGATACTTTGGGCCTTTCTCTCCTATAAGGGCCTCTGAAACCCATTTTATATAATATGTGGTACCAGGAACATTGTACAAAGATGTTCTGTTGTTTCACCAGAATAATGACCCAAAACACACGACCAACTGAATAGTGATGTCTCCTTTAGCAGCTACAATGTCACTGAAATAAATCAACCTTCTATGGAGAGCTCTGTCCCCAGACTGAAATCCTAGAGAAAAGCTGTATTTGAGCAGAAGAGAAGAAACCATCAGAGTGGACCCAGGAATATGAACAATCTACAAAGGAAAAGCTAAATATCTGTCTTCCTATACACTATACGATTCTGAAATGTCCCTGGGTTAAAACGCTGATCATTTAGGTTCTGGTAATTTGATTAAAAACAATTCATTCCTACAGTATGTTGGGTTTTTTTTCTTCCACTTCAGAAGCACATCTTTGCCAGGGATGCCAAACAGTATAATATGAGCATAATGTTAATTCTGAACATGAACATTAAGGTTTTTAATTGCTGCAAACCAAATGCTCTGTTTACAATAGTAAAACAATTGTGTCATAGATCCTTCAAGAAATGATGCATGAGATTGACTATGATCAGGATGGCACGGTGTCACTGGGGGAGTGGATTCAAGGGGGCCTGACAACCATCCCTCTGCTGGTCCTTTTGGGCCTGGAGACGGTGAGTCAATAGAAAGAGATGCTGTGAATTTACTGTACTGTCCCTCCCACTGCAGGAGCCCAAGTTAGATTGAAAAACTATAAAAGTTAAATGTGTCAGTTCTTGGCCCTGATGATGGATCTTTTACATAAATGGCTGCAGAACTGTTCAAAAGGAGAAACAAAAAGCAAGCTGAAAGCTAATAAAGCAAACATAGTGAAAAAATAACACACAATAAAAATAATTTTAGAACATTAAGTTCAATTAAAGCTCACTGAATCTATAAAGATGATCCAGTCGCCCGCTTCTGGTGGTTTGCATTACCACCTCTATATGGCATCAAATCATTCATTGACCATTTCATACTTAATTAGTGTTTCTAATTTACCCCCACAGCTACAAGAGCTGAGAAAATATAGGATTTATTTTTCTTCTGACATTTCTTTGTGGTAAGGAGCAAAACTTATTTAAAACATTTTTCACTGTTTGTGAAATACGGCATATTCAGTTTTTTTTTGTTTTTTTTAACACCTTTAATTCGGAGCTTGTGTATATGATGTCTTACACCCCACAGGTGTAAATTAGTTGTGTTATTCTCACCCCGCTCCTTATTTAACCTCATTTTACATCAGTCCTGCAAGGTGAATATGTTAATTACTCTAAATTTGACACAGCCGATCTTTAATTGGATCATGTAAATTCTTCCATAATATATAATAATAATAATAATAATAATAAAAAAAATAGTCATGGGTAAATATTTGTGTGGCAGTATCCTCAATATATTTTGTTTTTTTGTGCATATTCTTATGCTAGTAAACAATTTTAACTGTTTTTGTATGTTTTTGTGATTGTTTTAAAACCACATACATCAGATTTGTGCATATTGAGTACTCTTAGTTCGTTCCTTTCCACAACTTTTGTATTTTTCACTTATCCTTATTAATACTGATGCTTTCAAGAGGTGAACATGTGCTTTTTCCTGACTACAGGTCCAAACGTCCAATTTTAAGATGCTTGAGACACTTTTCTTGTTTTCTTGCCTTGTGACATAAAATTCTTCTATGCTGAAAAATGACTAAATCAAGTATTAAAAGAAACACCACAACTCTAGTCCAGATTGTTGGATTATTTTTTATTTGGTGGATGTCTTAGTCTCAGTTTAAGGCAGTCTTTGGTCATTTTGGTGCAGAACTACCGTACAAGGTTCCATCCATCCATCCATCCATCCATCCATCCATCCATCCATCCATCCATCCATCCATCCATCCATCCATCCATCCATCCATCCATCCATCCATCCACCCATCCATCCATCTGTCCGTCCATCCATCCTCTTACGCCTATCTGGGGTCAGGTTTCGGGGTACCAGCTTCAGCCCAGATGTCACTCTCCCCATCCACTTGGGCCAGCTCGCCTGAGGGAATCCCAAGGCGTTTCCCAGGCCAGCCGAGAAACATAGTCCCAAGGTTACCTACTCCCTTTTAATGAAAATTAGGCCCACACATTGCAGCAAGATGGGAAATCCCTTTTCCTCAGCACATGTTCTTAACAATGAGTGGGGGGTATTTATCAGAAATCATTGCTGTAAAATGACTTTCCACTCCTGCCTTTTCTTTTATTGCTATTGCCTGGAGAATCCCAGTCTGATGTTGCTGCTTCATTTATTTTAATGCTGTTTTATTCCATTGAATCTTATTTTAAAATAAATTGTTTCCATATTTTACAAAATTATCTCTTTGTTTGTGTGTGAAAAAACTTTGGCCAATATAAAGTAAGTTCTGTAGCTGGACGTACTTCTCTGCTCTTGGACATACTTCACCTGCAGTATCCTGAACCTTTTTCTGCATGTGAGGTTATTTTCAGGCAAATAGGAAATGCGTTTTGGGGGGAGGGGGGGTTAACTCACCATTACTAATAGAGATTTTTAAGCAAATAAAACCTTTGCAGTAAATGAAGTTGCTGCTGATCCCTTTTACATAATAATCCGATATATAAGCTGTTACTAAAAAGAGCGCAGTAATTGAATTTGCTCATCAGAAAAGCTTTTCAGCTTTTTTTATGAACATAAAATGTTTGTATTACAGGAAAACAAAGAACGCTATTCTTTTATTATTCTCTAGATGGCAGCCTTTCCCAACCTTTAGTTCAAAACCCAAATTCTCTTTTTAATTTATGAATGAATGAATCATTTGAATACTTTTACTAAAAGATCAAAAATGCATTTCAAAGGTATCCACAAAATAAAAAGATAAAAAATAAAATTATCTTGTAATTGATTTCTTCTCATCCAATTTAACATGAAATAAAGTAATTCTACTACAGTTTCTCATTAAGTCACTAATGATGAGTCTGCTCTGTTTGTTCAGAATGTAAAAGATGACGGGCAGCATGTGTGGAGATTGAAGCACTTCAACAAACCCGCCTACTGTAACCTGTGTCTCAACATGCTAATTGGACTGGGGAAGCAGGGACTCTGCTGCTCATGTGAGTTTATCCCTAAATACTCAGGAGCTGATGTTTAAAATATGCTAATATTGCACTGTGTTTATTATTACCATGTTTATTTTCATTTGATTAAAATCACAAACTAAGAAACCATAAAAACAAAGTATTCTTGTACTGCAAAGAACAAATTCATATTAAAACTTCTTAAGTATCCTAAAAACTTTTTTAGGTAAATTTATTTAGTGGAAAAAAACTAATAAATGTTTTTTTCTTTCACAATAAAGCATGTTCAATGCAACTATGAGAATATATTTATATTATATTTCTGAGCAAATGGAAATATGTTTCTTTTTGCTCAATTTAGAACCTCTTTCATGCTCTCTTCTGTAGAGCTCACCTCACAGTTTTCCTAAAAATAGTTAAAGAAATACATTTGATCATAAAGGAAGGCTAATTTGGTGTTTGGTTAGCCATTTTTGTGTTGCTACAGCCACATGTTAGGGTCATTATCCTGCTTGAAGTGACCCAGTGATGATCTGTTTCCAGTTGTTTGGCAGAAGATTTTTTTTTACTGTGCATTAAAATAAATATGGACAATAGTATCGATTGCAAGTCGGTATCTGTTTTGGCTGAATACCATGGTGACGAGGTTGATACTTTAGTTTCAGATTCACTCTTAATCCAAGTTGTCGCTCTGTCTCAGCATAATGTGTGAGATGACACAACCCCCACTGTAGTGTTTTCATTTTTTCTCCACAGGCCCACTGTGAGGTTTCTGGGATTTCTTCTTTGTATTTATGGCAGCATTTATTGTTCTCTTTAGTTATTTGAGATCCAAATTCAAAAAATACACTCACATGGCGTAATATTTTGTTGTATTTTTTGCTGTGGTTTATGAACTCTAAGTTGCACTTTGTGTCAGACAAAACACACATTTAATTTTATCTCTTATTCTGTTGTTTCCATTTTTAACATTAATTGGATCTTATTATACTATTCTGCATAAATGTTATCCAAAAGTTGGACAAACAAAAGCATTTAAATTTGGATGAGACTAAACAAGAATTTTGAAAATTATCTTTGTTTCTATCGATATTGGTGATACTTGCCCTTTAGTTTTTTTCGTATTTGACCTATACAAAAATAGCAGTAGCAATAAAAACCTCTAATTTTTCCTTTTTTACCCTACTGATGCATTTGTGTGATTATATATTAAAGATTTAGTTATTTGAGTGTCTTGATGAGCGAAACACGATCTAGAAATAAGTAAAAATGTCTTAAATTAAGTGTATTTCCCCTTAATTTGAGTACAGTAGGTAAATGAGATAGTTTGCCAACGGAATGAGTATTTTTACTCTGATAAATAAGATAATTACATAATATGCACTTGAAATTAAACAATGCTATTCTGTTTTCTTATTCTAAGTGTAAATTGCCTTGTTCCATTGAGATGTCTCAAGATGTCTCTTTTACTACCTTAATCCAAGGGAAAATGCAGTTATTTTAAGAAAAAAATAACTCGTCTAGATTTTGATTTTTTTTTTCCAGTGAATGACATCTTTCAGGATATATAAAAGACAATTTACTTTTTTTGATATATACACACATTTTTTTTTCTTAATATTTGCAAATAATATTGGCATCATTCACAAAATTTTCCGATCTGAATCTGAACATCATTTCCTTTTACTCTGATTAAATGTACCAATCTGAAAATAAAAAATGTTAGGTGTTAAAGAAAGTTTATCAGAAGATATACATCTATTTTGAGATGTTTTGAAGGTCTCTGTCGTGGATATCAATGAGTGGAAAGAGTGCTGTGATCTCTTTTCGTATTCATAAAAGGTTATAGAATAATATTTTATTAAGAGAGGGTATCCACAGATGGCAGTTTATTTCCCTTAGTATTCATAAAATAGTAGAAGCATTTAATTTCATTTAAGCACATTACCGAAATGTATATTGCTTGAGAATATAAATTTCGAGGTAAATTCATATTCTGACATTTGTCTTATTCTGACTTATGTTCATTTATTTTTTGGCTTTTTTTCAGTTTGCAAGTATACGGTCCATGAGCGCTGTGTGGCTCGCGCTCCACTGTCTTGCATCAAAACATATGTGAAGTCCAAGAAGAACACAGAGGTGAGTCCGGCTGCTGGCTACCACGGATCAGCTAATTTCTATGAAGCTTCACTCCTACTTATAAAAAAAATAACTGTTATATAGATAACTAATTACCAGCATAATCCCTTTTTGCACTGACAAACACACAAAGCATTTGTTTGGCTTCTTTTCTCTTATTTATTTGTTGTTTCCTCCTGATTGTTTTCTCTCCTCTTTCCATCTTTAATTGCAGTGTCACTTCTACCTTTGTGTACATCTTGTTTTTCTGAACGTTTCTTTTTCTCGCTGCTTTTCCACCCAGTATGCCGTCTCTCCTCCTCTCTGCAGGTAATGCATCATTTCTGGGTGGAGGGGAACTGCCCCACCAAGTGTGACAAGTGTCACAAAACCATTAAGTGTTACCAGGGCCTGACTGGGCTCCACTGTGTTTGGTGTCAAATCACGGTAAGCCACCCCCCTGCCGAGAGGCAGCCACCTCCTCATTATATTCCCACTGCTTCTTGTTGTTTAGGCTTTCATTTTGGCACCTCTGATACCTCACAACTGATTTTGCCAATTTACACTCAGAAAACACTTGTTTGCAGCTATAGGATAATAGAAAATACGAGCGAGACAGTGATGTGCGCATTTGCAAATAAACCCTGAAAAATATTGCTGAAATATTTATTTCTGTTGCCGCTAGTTCGAGGTTGTTAATAATAGCTTCCACCTCCTCCAGCTCCATAACAAGTGTGCTTCCCACGTGAAACCTGAGTGTGACTGCGGACCCCTGAAGGATCACATCCTGCCCCCAAACTCAATCTGCCCTGTTGTTCTGGTAAGACTCTGCTCTTTTCTGGACAGCAGGCCTTAAGGCTGAGAGAACCGGGCCTTGTTTGAGACCTGATGATCCAATCATCAGGCCTGTGTTCTCCTACTGAGCTCTGAAATGGCACCAATTTATTTTGTAGAACTTTATGTCCCAAATTGCACAAGCGTGTTTAAAGACGATACAAGTTCTCTACTCTAATAACTTTTCCCTCCAAAAGGCAACAGATGAAACTTTAGTTTCTCGGTTTTTCTTTTATAATCCAGACACATAAGATGGTTAAATTAGTTTGCAAAACAATTTGTTATTTATTCCACCTCTCTCAGATGGTTCTTACTGATGATCAGCAGGTTAAATACAAAAAAATCAGATCGTATAAAATCCACCGAACACTTTAGCCTAATTTTATCATTTGCAAGATGATTCTGGATTGGATTCACAAAGCAAACTGCTATGAATACATTTATATACAAATATACCCAGCAAGTGTAGCAGCTACAAGGAATTTGATGCTCTTTTTGTGCCATGTTGCAGTCATGTCTTTTATCACATATAAAGAAGGAGGGAAGTGATCAACAGGTCTGTAAAGTTGAGCAAAAGTAGCATAGAGGATAGTAAAACATGCTGCATACAGCTGGATGATTTCCCATTTCCGTCATTGTAGGTTAGATTAAAATCTATTTGGTTGTCAAGAGACCTGCAGCACATTTTTCACTTTATTCTTCAGGCTTTTTTCTTCTTTATTTTTTGCTAAAACTTTGAATTGTTCGAATAAAACCAAGGGATTATTTTTTCTGTGTTATACACCTTAGAAAACAATTGAAAACAGCACCTCAGTTGCTAAAAGAAAGATGGAAAAAAGTATTGGCTCGAAAAGGTGCAATTATGGAAGCTGTATAAAATTCACAACACAGAAAATGTTTTATATATATTTTTATACATGTGTTTGGGTCTGGGTATATAGAACTATATTTTTTTCAGTTGAACTTTCTCTTTTTTATCTGCTTGTTTCGCTTGCTTTTTAGAATAAAACTGTTAATATTAAACTTGTCACTTCAGGAACGGCAGTCGACTCTGAGGAAGGACTCACGGTCAAGCCAGTCGAGTCGAGGAAAGATGCAGAGAGCCAATTCTGTCACAGTGGACGGCCAAGGGCTGCAGGTCAACCGCACCTCTGAAAAATATTTATGCTTTAACTGACACCTTTATACCTTTTAGTAAAAACGAAAAGCATCTATATCATCTGAAATTCTCAAAAAGTCAGATCTAGCAATTTGTCTAGATGTCTGCTAAAATAACATTATAGAAATAACATCCCAAGTGTTATAAAATAATAGAACACTTGAGAAGTGTGAGTTATTAGAACAGTAAAAATACCCCCTTTATATTTATAGTGAGAAAGATGTTTTTAATAAATGAATAAATAAGACCATCACTTGCATATTTCCATCCTGAGCCAAATGAATAGCTAATAAATTAATACACGTGTTTTGATAACAGTCTCTAAGGAGAAATAGAAAATTCCAAGACAACAGAATATTCAAAAAGCGAAGGCGTGTGCTGATGTTAATAAGTCAAGAAATGGCAACAGGAAACTAACTTCACATCTATAACAGCCAGATAGGTAGTTAAAAACATGATTAAACTGAAACGTTGACAAGATAACCAAATCTTATTTAAACATAATCAGTGAGGAGGATCATGAAAATTGAGACCTCCAGTTTAGACTGAAGGTTATAAGTCCTTATAACTACCATTAGACACCTTCCGTGAGCCTCACTGTCATTTTGACGCTTCTTCTGTCCTACCATCACAAAAGTAACCACAGCATCTGTGATGCTGTCAATCTGTGTCGCCTTTAAAGGCCCAGAGATCCTTGTTGAATTGTGTGACCTCAGGGACTCTATAAATTCCTTTTTTTTATATTGTCATTTTTCAGATAGATTGAATAGATAAAAATTTATAAAATAGCATTCTAATAAATATAAAATATTAATGAATTTATTAACACAGGTAATAATTATTGTGCATGTGATTTTAGGTGTAAAATCTATTATTATAGTGTGGGATTTCTTTTTCGCACACTTTTTTTTTGCTCAGTGTGGAATAATGCAATTGCAATAAAAGATGCATTTATCTCAAACCTTTTACACATTTTAACCAGGGTAGTGGATAAAGGTGAAGCATTTAACCCTTTAAAGCCCGATCCAAGAAAAAAACAAAATAGAAAACTACTTTTCTTTGGTTTGAATTCCTTATTTGCCCTTTTAACAAAATATGTAAAAAGAAAAAACATAAATAGATTTTTGATATTAATAATTTATTACTATGCGATAAGTCAAGATTAGTTTTTGTGTAGTCTTCTACTGGCTGTTATCAGGTACATCTGATTGTGTACAATAGGATTTTTTTACCATTAAATTATGCAAAAGGTATTAGATGCAAAACATTTCAGAAACCGTATGTATCAAATATGATACATTTGGCATTATTGGGTTAAAATTTGTTATAGCTTTAGATCTGGCAAAATATGTCACCTAAACCTGATGGAAGTGCAGACATATCCTGGCTTAGAACAATGTAGGAGGGTTTGCTTAACAGATATTCAAGTTTTAAAGCAGTTGGTTTGAAAATCTGCATTTAGTGTAGGTTAAATGCAGCAAAATATACTACCATTAACAGTGCATATTAGAGCCATTACCCAATAAATCTTAAGATTTAATATAAGCCTCTGCAGTTGGTAAAAACCGCCGGTCCTGCTGGTAATCAGCATCATCCATAATCAGCATCCTGATCTTGTGCCAGAATGCTGCCGAAGGAAAACCTGCTGCCGTCTGTGGCAAGCATACGTCTATGAGCAAATTCAAGAGAAGGAGAAATACCATGAATCATATCCCAGCAACATCCATCTATGACTCTCGCTGGCTAACCAGCGTAATAATCAAGATTATTATTTATAATTACAGGAAGTAATGGATCACTCTTGACCGGACAGGGAGCTCATTAATTCACCCTCGGCCTGCTGGGATAGCAGACAGGAGGAGTTAAGTGCTTCATCTGTGTCAGGGAGAGCATCGGGCGAGTTGTTTCAGGACAGTTCAAACGGTGCATGAGGCTCAATCCAGGTCTGGCTTCTGGGAACCTCAGGCAAACCTGGAGATAATTACTCTTATTATTTACACAAGCTATCCCATAAATGAAAAAGAGGAAAAATTGTATCGTAACCACAGAGTCTTCCTGAGGTTTTTGTATGATTTTAATGTTTTCTCATATGGTTATAAACTGTGATGTCATTCCTGAGGATTTTACATCAATAGTCAAACACAAAGTAATTCATAAATGGGCATGGGGAGGAAAATCTTTTCCAAATAAAAAATTCAAAGGTGTGACATTTCTTTGCATACAGCCCTCTTTTCTCTTAAACATTTGCATAAAAGCCAGTGCACCTAATTACATAGTAATTACATAGTGCTAATTACAATCCAGATTCTATTCATATGTGGTTAATGACCCTGACAAAGGCAACCAACTGAAATCGGTTTGTCTGATAACAAAATTTAACAAAAAGTTCCAATTATTTTCAGTGTTGCTAAAAGTTGGAAAAGTTGTCCCAGATGGAAGGAATGATCTACCAGAACCAGGGCTTCCCTGATATTCATTTCCACCTGAACTAACCTGACCGGGCACAGAGAGCATTAACCAGAGATACAACTTATGTTTGACTTTAGCATAAATGCAATACACTACATATAATGGAAAACAGACTCTGTAGAGCACCCATAACCCACCACTTTCCCAGTACAGTACGGAAGTGGAAGTACAGTAGTAGCCTTTAAAATTTTCCACACTTTCCTTGAAGGGCCCTTGCCTGGTCCTCGGCTGGTCCCCTACAATTCCTTTTTAAACATCAATCTTTGAACTAAGATATTTTTTCTGTCATGATTTGTGGACAATAAGATCCAAAGAAAAGCATCATCTCCTGGTCAGACCCTGTAATTCAGTGAAAGCGTGGAATCAGAGTAAAAATAATGCAAGAGGGGGTCACTCCAGTGGCTGGAAGTTGGAGGGGATTTCGCTGGGAGTTCGAGGGAAGTCTCCTGCTATTCGGCTGGCGTTTGACTTAGAAGGGCCATTTTGCATGGATGCTACTGCATCATCAGTGGGGATTCTTTTCTATGGAAGGAAGAGAAGGGTTTGTCATACTGATTCGACAATAGAAAGGGCTAAATGCAGGAATTCATTAATTTTATATACATGTTTGAAACAGGTGCCTGAAATTCAAGCAGGATGTACCTATTGTAGGGCAAGAAGGCTTCACAACTTGCAAAAAAATAAAAATAAAAAATACACCTGAAAGGCAAAAGGCTAGAAGAGACTCTTACAAGGGTTTTTCTGTCTGGCTGATTGATAATCTGGCAGAACAGCAAAATCCGAATCAGAATTACTTTATCAATCCCTTGTAAGGAAAACTACACATACAGACAGAACTCTCCAGCAGAGGAACACTGATAAAAATTGACACCACACTTTTCAGATTTAAATTTGAGAAAAACTATGTTGAAACCGTATGTCATTTTCATCCGTCTTCACAATTAAACAATAGTAAACATTGATGGCTTTAGTTCTAAATGGGCAGCAAGATTTAGCTTTTAACTTCCGAATATAAAGATTCAGCTTCTCCAGTGTGAGTTTAACCTTAACCCTCTAGAAATTATTTTTTTTAACAAATCTGTTAAACGTACCCTATGAGTAAAATTTCAAGGGAAAAGTTTTCGTTTTCACTTAGAAGAAGAACATAGAGCCCATCCATTCCTGGCCTCGACCAGTTCACAGGAAATATGTGCAGATGGCAGGCAGGCAGTGTAGTGCTTGGAAGTGCCATATATACTTGATAAAATGTCTGAGGGATACGGCTTGAAAGTGAATTCCTGTGAAGCATCCTGCAGTCTCCAAACACAGAGGCTTTGTTTTGACATCTTCCACACAGATCACAACAATAGAGGGCACTCATCCTCTGCTGGTGTTTGTCAATCCGAAGAGCGGGGGCAAGCAGGGGGAGAGGTAAGTACACAACCTGTCTCAACATGCTACAAGAGGCCTCTGAAGCCCCTCTCCTCAGCTACAGAGGGGAGGAAACAGCATGGCCTCTGGGCTGACGAGTGCTTTTTAGCTTACTTAGTCAAATAAAAACACAATCTGATTTACCTAAAGCGCCGGATGCCTCCGCTGTCAGAAAGAAACTCCTCTCACTGTGGCGTCCCGCCCTGGGTCCCTCTTTTCAACCCAGGGCTAATTGGGTTATTACTGAAACATATTCATTCACTTCTTATTATGCCGGCCCTCATCTGTTTAAATTATGAGATCAAAATATGACTTCAGCCAGTTGATATAATGAAATTGAAATGAAAATGAATTAGTCGTTCTAATGGTTTTTTCCTCAAGGGGACTTTGGACATTTTTCCGCCTTGCTGCCCAGTCCACTGGCGTGTCATACTTTGATCACACAAGGCTCTGCATCCCCCTACTGCCATACAATACGTAGCATTTGTGATAGCGTTCTGCTATTTCGATTTGTTCATTGTTTAACGCTTGTTTTGTTTTGTTTTTTTTAACTAGGATTTACAGAAAGTTCCAGTATCTCCTGAACCCCAGACAAGTTTACAACCTGGCCAAGAATGGACCAATGCCAGGGTATGTTATAAAATCAAAGAACATTAATACTAATTTTGTTTGTGTAGTGTAATTATTTAACTGTTTTGAGGCACATGTTTTGAAGTTACAGCAGTTGCTTGGTGAATAGAGACATGAAATAAAATTATAGAATACAGAATACAGAATACTACAATAGTCATTTAAACTTGAATAGTGAACAATTACGACCATGGTAAATATGGAATACACAGAAGTCATTTCATTTTATGTCTACAGATGTTTAAGAGAGAATTTGTTTTGCATGCAATAATTGGAAAAGTACGTAAAAATTTTTTTTTCAACCTAACGTTTTAGGGGGGCAATATCTACACATGTGGACAAAATTGCTAAAACCCTTGTTTAATTAAAGAAAACCCAATGATGGTCAAAGAAATAACTTAAATGTTGTATGAGTAATAATAAATAAAATTCAATGGACAGTCAGTCAGTGCTTTTCCATGCTTCAACAGAGTCTTTTATTTTGTAATCAGTCCGTTGGTCTATATAGGGCTACAGGTAGTAACCGTGCTGTTTCATGACATGGTGTGTACCACACCCAACATGGACTACAAGAAGGGAAGGAAAAAGTTTTCTTGCCCCAGGACTGCACCGAATGTGTTAGCGCAGCGGAGTGCCTGCTCCGCATCCACACCATGCTGCTCCTGTTGATCACAGCCAGTTTAGTCAGTCAGAGCAGTTCCAGCCAGTGCGCCATGAAATCCGAATCCAACTGCTATAGGGTGCTCGGCAGAAACCGCAGCGCATACCCTCAGCAGACGGTCTGCATGCTTACGTGTTCAATGGAAACCTGACAAGCATGTTAAAGGTAAAGGCTATGAAACCGTCTCCAAGAGGTTCGATCTTCCTGTGACTGCAGTTGCAAATACTATTCAGAATGGATGGATGGATGGATGGATGGATGGATGGATGGATGGATGGATGGATGGATGGATGGATGGATGGATGGATGAATGGATGGATGGACGGACAGCGGTAGCGGCTAATATAAAGTCCTTGCTCCCACGACGCTAGATAACGGCAAGCTCTCTCATAAGCTTGTTAGATATATTTCAGACCAAAGTATGGATTAAAGGCTGGGATTACTCACCTAATGTGCTGTAAACAAAATTTAACAGGTTTTGAAGTAACTTCTACCTGATTTTGGAGCAATTGTATTGACTCTAGAGTAAAACAAAAAACAGCAAGAAGTGGTCTTATATTGTTCAGTGAGAAGCAGCCAATCAGATGTCAGGGTTTCTATGGAAGTGGCCCGAGGCCCACCTCCTTGCCTTTTGATAGGCGCGTGACAACATGGTGTGCTTTAACGCAGGAACATGAAATAATTCATTGAATCATGGATTTGGTTAATTCACTTCTTAAGCAATTAATTATATTCCTATTCAATAAATTCTGTATTTATTTTCAATTTTCATAAAGTAATAGAGAGAGTAATAATTTCATAAAACACTTGTCACCCTCTATAATCGGGTTTATTTTCAAGACCTATTCTATTTCTTTTGATTATTTTCCCATTGATGGTTTAGTTTAGGTCACACACAATGGTACCCTTTGGTCAAGGGTACCATTGTGTTTGACCAGGTCTGTTTCATAAGCTTATCTTTTTAAATGATTTTTTAAATAAATGTTGAAGCATGATTGAAAAGCGCTGACTGACTGTCCACTGAACTTTTACTTATTATTATTCTTACTAGATTTAGGATATTTCTGTGGCCATTGTTGTTTTTTTATTAAAAGAGGGTTGCCAGCAGCTGTCCACGTGCGTGGCGCTTAAATCTAGATGCAAAAAATAAAAGCATTATCTATATATTCAAGCCAATTTTCAAGTTTGGTGTTAAAGTTATATTGGATTAATGAAATACCCAACTTTTAACTTTAAAACACGACAATAAACCCAACATGAATATACCCAATTTTTCTTTTACTTCTGCTTATTTTTTATTTTTTTATTTACTTTGTTTTGTTCGCAGTATTTATATTTATATATCAAAGATAAATATTTGACGTTCTGTTTAGAGAACTCTTTGTTGTTGCTCACACATAATGATTGTGATCACATGCAAGAGATGCTTTCAGTACTATAGCCTTTACTGTCTCCTCCCTCACACATTACACACCAAAATGAGGTGAGTTCACATATAACAAATCCTGGAGACGATGGTATCATGCAAGACCCTTAAACACGCAGTGGCTCTGTATGCAGAAGACTATATGAGAGCTCATGAATGAGTGACGGATGCAAAGTGGGTGAAGCTCACACAACATGTGATCATGCATACAGACAAGCAGCTCACCACAGCCTGGTGGTGTGGATGCCGTCTGGTCTCCTACAGTTCACATTTGTGATTAAGAAAATGAATGGATCATTTACATGCACAAGGCTCTTTCACTTTACCGCTGGTGTCCAGTAGTGCTTGGAATACACAGGAATTTCTGGGCCCCGTGCTGCCATGTTGTTTGGCTTTGATTAGGCCTGAAAAACAGCATTTTTTTTGAATTATCAAAGGTAAATAAACAGAAACACTCACCGGTTTAAAAGGGATCCGTGAGGCATGAACTGTATGCATCAGGATGAGCAGAGCTTTCAGCACCCATAATTTAGCTTTATTTCTTTTCCTCTGATGTTAAATGGAACAGCACCTGGTGCTGTGTGCAGAGATCCAGCACCTCCATTGGTTGACAGCATGTGGATGACCTTCCCCAGCTTTAACCTTGTTAATATTTTGCCAAGTGAACCCACTGCACCACACATTAGCAGGGTTAGCGGTCAGCAACGGACACTGCAGGCATAGGCAGCCGCGTACACAACTGTCAATTAGCTGCCTCTCTAATGCAATTACAGCAAATTAAGTGTTTGTTTCTTGGTATTTAAATATCCCCAAAGTTGCCTTTCATGTTCGCGGCCGTCTGTTTTTGTGTCTAATATGGTTTGCTGCCCCAGTTGGAGAGTAATTGAGCGAGTCATTTACCCGCCATACGAGGCTGCGAGGCTGGCTCATTCAGTTAGGGCTTTGTTATTGTGAAGGAACGGAGGAAGTTGGACTGAACATTGCCTGTCATGATCCAATTAGACCGCGAACAGACAATGTACCTCACTGAATGAATAATATCAATGCAACATGTTGTGTGTTTTTTTTTTTGTTTTTTTTTTTGTGGGATTAGGTGTAGTTTGCCTTGCTACAAAGTATGACTATGAGTTTATAAAAGTAGTCAAGTCATGAGAAAAAACTAAAATAAGGGGTACCTGTGGCCAAGTGGTTAGAATACAGGTGCTGGTCATAAAATTAGAATATCATGAAAAAGTAGATTGATTTCAGTAATTCCATTTAAAAAGTGAAACTTGTATATTATATTCATACATTACATACAAACTCATATATTTCAGATGTTTATTTTGTTTAATTTTGATGATTACAAATGACAACAAATGAAAATCTCAAATTCATCATATCAGAAAATTTGAATATTGTGAAAAGGTTCAAAATTGATGGCCCCTGGTGCCACACTCTAATCAGCTAATTAACTCAAACCACCTGCAAAAGCCTTTAAATGGTCTTTCAGTCTAGTTCTATAGGCTACACAATCATGGGGAAGACTGCTGACTTGACAGTTGTCCAAAAGACGACCATCGACACCTTGCACAAGGAGGGCAAGACACAAAAGGTCATCGCTAAAGAGGCTGGCTGTTCACAGAGCTCAGTGTCCAAGCACATTAATAGAGAGGCGAAGGGAAGGAAAAGATGTGGTCGAAAAAAGTGTACAAGCAAGAGAGATAACCGCACCCTGGAGAGGATTGTGAAACAAAACCCCTTCAAAAATGTGGGGGAGATTCACAAAGAGTGGACTGCAGCTGGAGTGAGTGCTTCAAGAACCACCACACACAGACGTATGAAAGACATGGGTTTCTGCTGTCGCATTCCTTGTGTCAAGCCACTCTTGAACCACAGACAGCGTCAGAAGCGTCTTGCCTGGGCTAAAGAGAAACAGGACTGGACTGCTGGTGAGTGGTCCAAAGTCATGTTCTCTGATGAAAGTAAATTTTGCATTTCCTTTGGAAATCAAGGTCCCAGAGTCTGTAGGAAAAGAAGAGAGGCACTTCATCCACGTTGCTTGAAGTCCAGTGTAAAGTTTCCACAGTCAGTGATGGTTTGGGGTGCCATGTCATCTGCTGGTGTTGGTCCATTGTGTTTTCTGAGGTCCAGGGTCAACGCAGCCACATACCAGGAAGTTTTAGAGCACTTCATGCTTCCTGCAGCTGACCAACTTTTTGGAGATGCAGATTTCATTTTCCAACAGGACTTGGCACCTGCACACAGTGCCAAAGCTACCAGTACCTGGTTGAAGGACCATGGTATCCCTGTTCTTAATTGGCCAGCAAACTCTCCTGACCTTAACCCCATAGAAAATCTATGGGGTATTGTGAAGAAGAAGATGCAATACACCAGACCCAACAATTCAGAAGAGCTAAAAGCCACTATTAGAGCAACCTGGGCTATCATAACACCTGAGCAGTGCCACAGACTGATCGACTCCATGCCACGCCGCATTGCTGCAGTAATACAGGCCAAAGGAGGCCCAACTAAATACTGAGTGCTGTACATGCTCATACTTTTCATGTTCATACTTTTCAGTTGGCCAACATTTCTATAAATCCTTTGTTTTTATTGGTCTTCAGTAATATTCTAATTTTCTGATATGATGAATTTGAGATTTTCATTTGTTGTCATTTGTAATCATCAAAATTAAACAAAATAAACATCTGAAATATATGAGTTTGTATGTAATGTATGAATATAATATACAAGTTTCACTTTTTAAATGGAATTACTGAAATCAATCTACTTTTTCATGATATTCTAATTTTATGACCAGCACCTGTACTTTGAATTCAGCAAATGTTTGTAGATTTGACTCCGGTTTCATTAAAACACATGTTAATGTTCCCCTTTGCGATGTGCCTAAGCCCAGGTTTCCTGATTATCTACTTATCAGTGTATAAATGTCTGTTTTAAGTGTGATTTGGTAAATGTGGCTTCTGTGTTAAGCAACTTTAATGGACATAATGATGATGAAAAGCAAATCCTTTCACCATTTTACCAGTAATATAATAAACCATAATCTCCCTTACTGTTTATTGGGATGACCGATGCTACAAATAAAGAAAAAAAGAAACGACTAAAGAAACCCAAACGCTTTTATCTTTGCAGTTTGAACATCTTCCGAGATGTTCCTGATTTTAGAGTATTAGCCTGTGGAGGAGATGGCACTGTGGGCTGGATCCTGGATTTTATTGGTATGTATTACCTCTTTTCAACTGTTTTGTTGAAAATATTCAGATCATAAAGGAAAGTATTTTTTGTAAATATCGGGAACACAACAAAATATGAAATTATGATTACTGGGAAAGTATATAACAAAGTTTTCACCATATGAGGCAACTCTACTTGGTGACAACAAGGGCTTTAAATAGGTTAAATATGTAATTTGCCAGTAATGTTACAACCACTTAAGGTTATTCTCCTAACCGGCATCACTGCTACCAAAAAGATGTTGGCTTTACGCTGGAAACCTCCACATACAGTTACCAAGCCCCAATGGATTAACACGTACATTGACATAATAAATATGGAACTTTCCGTGGCAAGAATGCACGGTGCTGGAGCTAATACAATTCAAGCATGGCAAACAATGGCAGATAAGATCCAGGAATTCCTGTAATCACCATTTTTGTTTACATATGATGTTGGAATATGGTCTCTTAGGTCCTGTAAGAGTTCTGTAGAGATCAAGGCTTTTACCTTTATCGGACCAATGTACCTGTTTCTCTTTAAAATAATAAATAAGTTGTTCACAAAAAACAACCACTTAAGGTCTACAAATTTAAGAACTTAGATTTCATTTTTCTTTCAACCAGGACTGCAAAAGTTCCACTGGTTTGAGAGCTTTGCAGATTGTTCTTGACAGATCTGGGCAGAATTGCTTTCATGCTCAGTGTCTAACAGCCATTGATTAAATACTGTAGGAGTGACCTTTGAGGATGTTTTGCACTTGTGAATTTATGACAAATAAATGTTCTGGAAAAAATAAAATTCTCTTCCTGTCAGCTTAAGTAAATGTGAAAATTCTATGAAGGAAATTACTTTTAAGGTAATGCCAAGGGGAAAACAGCTGCCAAGATATAATATTTAATTAGCCAATTATTGTGGAACTACTTGTAATTTCAACTTAGTTTGTCTGCTATATTTAATATCTAGAAAATATAAGCATATTAACATCCTTGTTAATAACCATGGTTAGGAGTCTTTTGGCTCCTTAAGGCAAAGAGGTTTCTGTTTGACATGAGCATGGCGATGTCAAAAGACATTACCCCAATTCTTCAGCATGTTGACGTCTAAAAGAATGAACCCAATTATTAAAAAATAATTAATGCAGCATCTTTAATTCAAATCTTAATTTACTCTTTAAAAGAGTTATCTAATATTATCATGCTAAACCTATTAGACTTAGGCAACTTTTATTGTCATTTTGTATAGATTGATTACAAAACGACATTTCGTTTTGTACAGCTTTCAGACAGTAAATGAGTTGCAGCTTAGCAGTGAAATGAACATTTATATTTCCTAAAGTGCAGCAGTGGTCAAATGTAAACATTGTGGGAGAAAAAAACAAATGGTGTTTTGAGAACCTCTGTAATTCCTCTCATTTATTGGCTGTATAGAAACAGTTTTATCAATCTCTCTGTTGTCAGAGGTGGTCAAGTAGGATGATTACGTAAGAGGGGAAAAACAACACATTAGTCATAATTTACAAAGAAAACAAAAACTCACCTCTGTTTGGACCTGAAGATGTGTTACTTGTTCATTCTCTCTAAAAATTGCCTCAATTTTTTATCAATCAAAACAAAGGTAGGTAATAACCGTCAGGCAAAATATGGTCTTTGAAATAGACTGTACTAGTGGAAGTCCATATTGATTTGTTGTTTTTACATCAAAGGTTCAAAATGGAGTCCAGTTGTTTGTTGCTGGTTTATTTTGTGAATTTGTCTCCTAGCTTTGACCTTGTTTAACATGTTGTGATTTTTGTCTCACTGCTCAAGATAAGGCCAACCTGGACAGGAACCCTCCAGTATGTATACTTCCTCTTGGCACGGGCAATGACTTGGCGAGATGTCTGCGATGGGGAGCAGGTACTGGCAGCAAGTGGATACATTTCATAGACTTTGATTTTTTTCTTACTTTTCTTTTCAGCAGAGAAAATACTGTATGTGACCTCTTGCACAATTATTTAACCTTCTTTACAAAAAAGGCAGACATTTGCCCCATTTATAGTACCCTTTTGAAATCGTGCAGAGAGCGGTCCAAGCACGGTAACCGAGATAACTGTTAAGTGCAAATGGCACGCAAACTGAACCGGATCATGCCAGACACAACTGAACCGCGCTAAACTGGTACTAGTTCATCAGCAGGGCTCGGCGCGGTTCTGTTGTGGATCAGTTCTTTAATAACAAAGAGCGCATGAGACCACGTCATCTCCTAGCACGCTAGCTTCCCTACCGTGCCACTTGACTTCCAGTGATAATTCTGCTTAGTAGTGTGATGAACCTCGATATCTGTCGTTTCCAGTGTCTGTAATCTCTGAATAAACTATCGTTTGTCGTATCCTTTCCCAAAAGCTGACTATGTCAAGAAAATTCAACAAAGGCCGCCATCTTTGCCTGACTCTCTGCAAACAACGAAACATCACAATTATAACCAATTTCCTGAATGTTACCGGCGGTGCTGTTTAGATTTGCGTGATTCCTTCCTTCAATCCTAGAAATTGGTAGTACCGTAGATCGTGTAAACGGTCGCAAGGAACCAGGCTTTGCACGGTTAACTTATCCAAGCTCGGTCTGAACTTGGCACGGATTGGTTTCAGAGGGTAGGGTAAATGGGGCTCTAGTTACATACAGAAGACACCCTGATTGCAGTGATCCAAAGATTCAAACATAAAGCATTCGGTAATGATTGTATAGCTAAAGATGTTATATTTGTACCGTAGTTGGTCACAATGAAAAGTTAGTTCTTGTGAGGATCCAGTGTGTTACGAGTTAATTCACACCTGCATTCATACTGACACAGGAAATACAGTGGAAGTTTTGTTACATATGAAGGCAGTTGACTGATTTGGATTTTATGTGGATGGGCTGGAATAAAGGAAGTTGGATACAAATATATTGTAAACCTCATATGTTTACAATGATGAATACATGATCATATCTATAAAAAACGTATTTTAAAATTTGTATCTACTTTGTTAGGCTCTAACATAAAATTCCAACTATGAGTGATAACATTAAAGGGGTATGATTATTTTAAGAGGAACTGCATTTAATTCAGTTAATTTCTCTCATCTTTGAGGCTATGAGGGTGAAAACCTCCTAAAGATCCTTCGGGATATTGAGAACAGCACCGAAGTGATGCTGGATCGCTGGAAGATCGATGTGACGCCCACTGACAAGGAGGAGCGAGGGGACCCGGTGCCTTACAGCATTATGAACAACTACTTCTCCATCGGAGTGGTGAGTCTTGACACTCAGGCATTTACACTCAAATAGTAGAGACAGACATTTCTCTTTTTCTTTAAACAAGGTCCACAATATAACAAATGTAGTTTACATAATTTGAACATTTTGCATCCGTTTCGAATTTAACATTAATTAATTTATTGATCTAGAAAAAATCATAAATAAATGATTGAGGCTGTACCTTAAAGGAAATAATATATTCTAATAGCTGATCATCACATTATGGTTTCATAAAAAGCCCTGAAATCGGTGATTTCAACCATTAAACTTTTAATTAATACTCCTTAATTTAGAAATTGTTCCTAAATCTCCATGTATGCAACATTATTTGAAAGCTGACTGTATGTACTTTAATTTCATGATGCCTCACAAAGGGAGAACATCTAGCTATGACTTAATTTTATTAAGTTTTAAAGTCGGTATAGAAAAAGTGAAGAACCACTGTTTTTTGCTTTTTGCTGTGCCAAAATGCGATTCTAATGTTAATGCCATCATATGTTTTATCACATTTTTATAAAAAATCAAGGAAAAGATTTGAATCAAGAATTTTATTCCTTATTAATAAATTTCTATTCAGCATTTTTAAACCAAAAAAATAGAAACAGAACATTAATTAACAATGAGACAAATAAACACAGCATAACAACACGGTTAATGACAAAATACAAGTGGTGAAATTTTATCTGAGATTTTTAAAATACCCCTAATAAACCGTATAACACAATTAATTTAGCAGGAATTTCTAGTTTTTGAAGAGTAAACCAGGAATATATTGCCCAGGTCTAAATTCTAGGATCTAGTTTGAATTCATAGTCTCTGAACCACCAGTAACCGTCAATAGATAAACTACAGTAGAAAAAGTTTATAAACTTAGTCCTTAATGTTTAACTGGTTCAGCTCCTTCTTAGAACTTGAATATATGTTGACATTTGGTTTCTACAAAGCCTGTTAAGTTGCTTTTGGGACAGTCTATGCCCTTCTACGGGATTGGCCATGGAGGTCTTGGGGGATGTTAATGGTCTTTAGGTGGTTCTGATGGGTTGTTAACTCCCTCGACAGAGTGGTTTCCGTCACATGCCTTATTGAAGTGTGAGTTAAGTGAGTGCAGATGAGAGGTAAACCTGGATGTTGTTACTTAAAGCTACAGTGTGTAATTTTCTTAAAGTGTACTGTAGGTGAACAGCTGTCTTGTCCTGTTGAGCCGTGCGCCTGTGTAGGGGTTGCTTGGTTGCTCAGATATTCAAGTTTTTTGCACTCTTCACTAAACTGAATGGTATAAACCACGTTGTCGGCCTTATTTCTGGATGTCTTGTCTTTGGGGTGAACCGGTTTTTGTCTCAGGGTGTTGTCGGGTTTGAAGTGCAAAATGATTTGGATTAAGAAAATCCACCAGAGTTTTTCAGAGACTGCAGCAACATCGGGAATGATGATGTTCCCTCTTCCTTTCTCTTCCTTCTCAGCAGGTCTCTTCTTGTTGGTTATGAAAAAAGCCCGCCTGGGATAACAACAATTCTTCAGGGCTGCCCTGATATATCCATGTTCTTTCATCTTCCCGCGTCTTCTAGAAAACTTCACATCCAGTTAACTTAACTTTTCAAGCTTGACCATAACCTGGATGACTGAAAATTTTCATAGATATCACCCCTTTGAATTTGATGTGTTCGATATGACCTCTCAAAATAAGCAGATGTGTTCATACAGTGTGTAAAAGGACGAAAAAAAACATGGTAGAAAAATAACTTAATAGTAACGCAAACAAGCATACTGAACAAAACAGTCAAAAGAAATAACAAGCAGAATCTGCAAAAGTATGATCATTCCATTTTACTACACAAGGCATTGATTAACCAATCAGAAGAAACCATAGAGCAAGGCTTTATTATAAAATTGGCAGTGATTTTTTATTATTTTAAAAATGTCTTATTTATGGCAAAGATTCAGGTGAACGAAACCAATTTCAAGGGTCAATTCATGGTGCAGCCAAAGCAAAAGGTAGACCTTAAAAACATCTGGGATACAATATTGGCTTTTACTGTAAAGTTTGAACTGGGCTGATTAGGCACAAGCTTAATACTAGCAGTGACAGATTAACATCTGAACTTTTTTTCTGCCCTTAATTTTCATATATCTGAGGCCAGATGGCAGAAATTTGTATAAAACCTCAGAGAAGAAACCAACCGGGGTGGTGATGTTTTAGAAATGAATAAAACAATCCAATATTACTGCAACATTCCTGTCTGACTAGTTTACAGTGACTTCTCAGCTTCACCCTTGTTTTGGCCCTCTTACTTATGCTAAAGAATGTAAAGATAGGAGGACCTTTCAAAGTTGGTTCTTGTCAATTCATAGCACATCATTAAGATTAAAGATCCAAAATCTTTATAGCTATATAAATAACAAGTAAGAGAACAATCATATGCATGATTATCTAAATATAAAAAAAAAATATTACTAAAAAAAAAAACTGTTGTGTGATATAAGAGAAAACTATATTTGTATGATGCCTTTATATTTTATTAGATGTCAAAGATGCATTTTAGTCCATAAATAAATCTCAATAATATATCATATACCATAAAAATTGTTTCATGGCATAGAGATTTCTATATTCAACAATTTCAACAATAATCAGTCGCAGAAATATATTTTGATTTGTAAAATTCTTTATCAAACATTAGTTTTCCCAAATATAAATCCTAAGAAAACCGTTAAAAGGAAATTGAAAAGTTTGTGTTCTTGTGAAGCTGGAAGAAGGTCAAGGTCTATATATGTGTTCTTGTTTGTGTGCACAGCTAAAATTTAACCAAAGCAGACATCCGTAAAAAAAAAAAGTCTGTCCACTTCAGTACTTGCATCTGCTATTAAATGTAGAATTTAAAAAGCAATACACCATAGAGCACTCACAGCAACAGCATAATCATTTAATTTATTTGTTTTGATCACATCGTGGTTAGGCCTTTATTGAGATGTGCTCAAGCTAACCACCTCTGATCGATAAATAGGTCTTGTTTTGCATCTGCGTGCGGTTACGGAGCAGTCGGCACCTTTCTGCCCATCTCTTAGATAATGACTCTGATTTCACATAGCTCGTGTTAGCCATTACCCATAAATGTCAGGGGGAAATATGGTAATTGACATTTGCAGGTGTCTGAATGGATCCACTGGGGGTTGTGAGATTTGTACTGACTGTGGCAGGGACATAAGTGATGCATGGCCTCACAAATGTTAGTTGAATAACACCCCCAGCCTAGGCCCACTAATAACCATGTTAGAGGATAATAAAGGACAGGTCTAGTTAACATTGTGATAGAGGAGACCAATGACTACAATCTGTCTTAGGAGGAAAACATATGGTGATGTCTGCAGGAGGACCTGTTTATACCATTTTCTGAGGTTTTATTGCAAGAATTTCCTGCTGTAAATGCCAAATTGCCTATTTTTGATCACACCTTATAGTAAATGATTGACATAAATGAAAAAAGGTTGTTTAACTAAAGAAGATATATTTAAACTTCAAAAAATAGGAAATATAAGATGTCAAGATATTTTTGCATTGGAAAATACTAAGCAAATAAGAGAAAAATCAGTGAAATTTCATTAGTTTAACAGTTGAAAAACGTGTAAAGATTATTATGAGTGTATAAAGGACAGATTTGAACAGTAAAAGACTGGTTGACAGCACTAGTTTACCAACAGCCTCTGTGGGATCTTTCTAACCTTCAGCAGTGGGAGACCTGGTATCCTGAAAATGTAAGTTTTTCTATGAAGAAGAAATATTCAGATATATAAAAATAATGTCGTAGTAGCAGAGATATCAGGATAGTAAAGTATTTTATTTTTTTTTTTTTACATGTTTTACTTTTTTAATCCATGGTGTTTATGGAGGAAAAGCAAATCATCCCTTGCAGGAATATACAGAAATTTAGATGTACGTCACATAGATTAAGACATAAACAAACAGAACAATCAATTCCACAGAAGATTCAAACATTAATAGCCAATATTGTAAGTTGTATTTATCTATAAATAATCTTAAAGCTGTCTGACATTCTAAATGAAATAAACTTAGATATAAAACATGTAGGGGTCTGTTCGTATGACTTTTTAATGCCCTTAACTTACTTTTTTTCTTTTTTTTCTTTTAGATTTTGTCACCGCAATAGCTCATAATACATTATTTTTGTGTTTAACTCTTTGTTGTCTGGGTCATTTACTCATAAACTAAAGCATTTTTTTACCATGTCAAGAACATGTGACAAGATATATGATACTGTGCTTATAACCACCTTTTGTCAACCTACACTGGGGAAAAAATGAAATCTAGATAAGTAATTTCTTCTTAAAATAAGTGCATTTTTTCTTGGATTGGGGAGGTAAAAGAGACATTTTGCCAGTAGAACAAGACAACTTACATTTAAAATTTGAAAATACAATTGCATTGTCTTATTTCAAGTGCAGATTACCTAATTATCTTAATTTAAGAGTAAAAATACTAGTTCCATTGGCAAACTTATTTACCTACTCAAATTAATGGCAAATAGATTTACTTTACGACATTTTTACTCATTTCTAGATTGTTTATCCAGTGTAATTCTTTTCTAGACCTACAGTATATTAATTTGAGTGCTTCCCACCACTAGTTAGAAATGAAAAAGCCTCTTGGATGAGAGTTTAAATGTCTTCTAAATAACTTCACGTCCAGTTGCCTAGACTGAACTTTTTCAAGCTTGACCATGACCTGGATAACTGAGATCTTCACAGATAACTTATAAGCAACGAGTAAAAAAAGGAAGTCATTTCTTAAAAAGATATGGAAATAAAGAGGCAAAATCATTGAAATCAGATGCTCTGGATGGTTGTTTAGCTGCTCTGTTCCTTCAATGTAATACAGAGTCGCTTGGCTTTATTTGCTGTTATGGTTTGGAATTTTATTGATTTATTTTTTTTTTTACATGATTTTAAAAAAGAAAGAACACCTCAAAACATCATCTATG